TAATTTCAAAGATGATGTAAGCAGACAAATTATTCAGTGTCAAAGAAGTAACTATTTATACAATAATTAGTTAGACCAGACGTGTAGTGTTCATACTTCGCTTGGAAACAACAATGAGCTAGTGACAATTTACAAGATAGAACACAACAGAGTTAATTTATACGCTTTATGATGGAGAGTTCAGGAAGATGCGTGGGGGATGAATAGTGAAGTAAAATTATAAAATAGACAAAATAATTTAATTGAGTAGAATTGGGACCTTAATAAAATGAGTTCATCTCAGTGAGTGGAAATCAAAATTACATGGAATGTTATGCAACAGGAAAAAACACAAAAATAGTACGCGAATAAAACAATTACGGTTGCCAGGGTAGTGAGAGATTAGTCACACTATCTTTCTGTATACAGAGGCTGGGTCGAAGTCTTTTATCTGTCTATAACTCGAAGTCATTGTAAAAAGTATGTTAGGTAACTTTGAAACTTATTTATATAGGATGTACGTAGTTGAAGAGAATCCACGAAATAAATTGAGATTATATTATCCTGTACAATTGTTCATTCCTTCTTTATTCAAATTAATATAAGGAAGTGGTTGTAGGAAATATATTAGCCAAATGACGTATTATGTAATCAGGGACGATGACATGCTCAAATCAATGGGCTACCTATATTTCACAGAATACAATCAAAAGAAGACTCTAGAAGATCTGGACTTCGCGGCGGATGATTTATTTTTATTTTCACTCAGACAGACTTGAAGACTTGCAGGTGAAAACAAACAAACAAACTGGCTGAAGTGGCAGGCAGCTATAAAACAGGACTCAAGGTGAACATAGTTAAGATGGTGAAAGAGATGGTGAAGATAACCAACCAATAGCAACGGCAGAAACAACCAGCACCAATCGCCATCAACAGGAGACATTTAACAGAGGTCACTTCTTGCCTTCACTTATCTCTCCAGGAAGCATGGTTTCAACCCCAGACAGATGGCACGGATGAAGACGTCAAAGCTAGTCAGAATCGGAAAGGCGAAACACACTTTCATTATTCTGAAATCGGTTTGGAAATCTTCTGCACTCAGCTGGCATAGACAACAAGATTTGTTCGGATTTCCAACACAGATGTGAAATCAGTCAGTCTGTCTGTTCTTTTAAAAGGGTCAGAAATTTGCACTGCGTGTCACAAAATTGATTTCCAACAGGCTAGTAACGATTTTTATCAACAACTGCCCACTTCATTGGATGACTTCATACTGAAGAGCGAATGGCCAGCCGGCCTGCCAGAAAGAACTAGTAACAAGAAACTGAAGCTGGCGGGGAACAAACCAAAGAGAGGCTGATTTCTAAAAAAAATATGTAGGAGAAAAGTAGGCGCACGCCACTAAGGAGGCCGCCGAGTGACATCGAATGTAGTGCAGGTCATCCCTTGAGTGGAATCTGAATGCGAATCGTCAACTGCGCCGTTGGTTTGAGAGTGACGTGTAGGAGATGGTGTGGCGAGGAGGAGATGAGAGATTGTTTCCTTGATCTGAAGTTTGGCTTTTTGTTCATGTGATTTGATTTTTATTGATTGGTAAGTCTTCTCTATGTCACAATGTACCTGTTAATTGCCGATTCATTCGAATGGCAGGCTTACAAAAATTCTATGGCTTCTTTGGTGTTTCATCTGTCTAATATCCGAATATTGTTCTAATCGAATTAGGATCTGGTGTTGTCTGCGTACGGTGATATGCATGAGGGAGTGGGTATCGTGTCTTTTGATGTTTAATATTATCCTAAGTGGTTGCAATTTATTTTGTACATGATGTTGGTTTTATCTTCTTTCGCTGTTGAGTCTTTTGGTTGACATAGAGCCAGCTGAGTGAAGTGAATTTGTTGATTTGTGTGCGATATCAATGCCTAAAGGTATGAGGAGTCCTGTAGTGATTTCTGAAATGTCTTCTTCACATGTGATAAGACGATTTTCTTTTCTTTTTTTTATTTGGGGCATTTGATTTAGTTTGTTGGCTTGGGGGGGGCTAGATACCTTTTGACGAAGTTTCGGGAATATCCATTCATTCATTTTGAAAACATCCATGAGATATCTTTCTTCAATTTTCCTTAAGTTGGGAGTGCTACAGTGAGTCCTGGTCCTCTCTCTCTCTCTCTCTGTCATTGGACTTTTGTCATTGAGTATTTAATCTGTGTGGGTTGATTTTCTATAAGCTTAATTTTCTAATTTTCTTGTGGTTATTTATTTGCCTAAGACATTCAAAAATGGGATTTTGTTCTCGGATTCCTCTTTTCCTGTGAATTTGATGTCGTTGAGGATGTTGTTTATTAAGTTGTAAGTCCATTCCAGAGTAGATAATTATCCTAGTCGTATCAGCTTTAACTGCACTGACCAATGTACATGCACTAACGGTTGCGCTTACATAGGAAGACTTAGAGGAGAGCATCTGAGCATATCCCCGACAGTCTTTTTATGAGAAGTAAGAAGGTGTTTGCAATCTCTGAACAGTTGATTTATACGAGGCATTCAGTAGAAATCAATCCAGTCTTCAAAATAATCAGTATGCAGGGTAAACCTTGGCTACTTTCCTTACGAAAAGCCATCACCATCAAACGGCTTGAATCTAATCTCCGTATTAAGACACACAATGTGATTAATTTAACACAAATCTGGTAACTAGACATCTTTACTCTCTTTCTGAGTTTTTATGTTGGATCACAATTTCTCTTTATTATGGTTACAACACACTGATCTAGGCTCATTATAAATCCTCCAATTCACAGGATTTCATCATGAGCTGACATAGGTTAGAAAACCGTTGGAAAACTAGTAGGGAGTACTGGATAGCTGTTTCATCCTAGTTCTGGACTCTTCAGCAGTGCGTACCCACGGTTATGGTTCGAATCTGGCCACAAGGCGAGCTGCAATGTAGACCACTGAGCCACTGGCACCTGACCAAGTGGTCAGTCCATGAACTCTAACTCCTGCTAATTCACGATATAACGTAACCATTATCCACTGTTATCGCTTGCCAGTATTTACCCTCACAACTGACCTGCTGTATGCCAACAGTCACGACTTCTCATTAGAACCCAGGTAACTTTCTACCACCTGAAAGGGGAAAGTTGCTAGTGAGCATTAGAATGATGTTAGAATGTTGTGCCAGTCGTTTGGAAGGACATTAAAATTGTACCTGCACCGAAGTCATCTACTGGAGCATGTATTAAACTTAGACCTATTGCTATTAACTCTCCTTTTCTAAAAGCTATGGAAAAGTTAATCGTACTTAATCTTCAACCTTCACTTAAGGCCTTTAACGATCCCAAACAATTTGCCTATAAACACAGTAGAAGTACTTTAGATGCAGCTGCAGTCTTGAATCATAACATTGTCTCTAGTTTAAACAATGGGACTGAATTTGTTCGCTGCAACTTCCTAGATTACACATCTGCTTTCGACTCAGTACTTAGGAACATTTTGTTAAAGAAGCTTTCTGAAACTCAAACTGACTGTTGGATTGTCAAATGGCTGCATTCTTATTTCTCAGGGAGAAAGCGGTACACTGTATGTCAGGGAAAGTCATCCACTTCTTTGCCTACTGAGGCTGCTGTCTCTCAAGGCGCTATCCTTTCTTTTTTTCTGTTTCCTTTCTTTTTGCATGACTTGCCTCACTCTGATGAAACGAACTTTGTTAAGTATGCCGACGATCTAACTATTTCAATGTCTATTAACTTCCAGCTAGACTGTACTAAGATGAACAGCTTTCTATCAGGACTTAGCAAATGGTCTTCGCCTAACGGTCTTAAACTAAATCCTTCTAAATGTCAGACTGGTAATTTCAGTTTTAGATGTGAAAGAAAGTTAAATGAAGCTGTTGGTTCCTATGACCCTTGTAAAATTGATGATACTGATATAGAAATCAAATCTGAAGTTGAGTATCTTGAATGAATTCTTTCTAATGACCTATTCTGGTCTTCCCACATCTTAGCGATTTTTAAAGAATATTTCGTCTGACCTTTTATATTAAGAAGTTGAGGCACTCAGGCATAACTCCACCACTCCTCATCTTACAGTTTGTCGACTCGTGCAGCACACCTATTCTTCTTTACTGTTCACCCCTCCTTATTCTTTCCTGGATTGCTTAAAAAAATACTATGTCATACTTCGTAGTACTCTGTCAGTAGGATGAGTGGTATCCCATTGGGCCATATCGTTGACATTGTCACTGATAGGCACTTGATGTCATGCAATAAATTTGCTAAAGGAATTTTGTCAGACTCTAAGCACCAACTCTACCCGCAGCTCCAACCTTGTGTCTCCTCAAGTAAAACAAGAAATCATTTCATCAAAAGACTTTATACACGTACGTCTAAGTATACGAATTCCACTACACCATATTTGGTGGCACGTACTTTATGTGATGGAAATAGTGCCAGGCATGAACTAACTAACTAACTTTCTTTGCATTACTAAATAAACCATTTCTTCCACCCTTACAGTACCAAACTTGATTGTTATTGTATTTCTTATATTTATAATCCTCTCAATATTTTTGTTTTTGTTAATTTATTTTACATAAGTCTGAACATAATTTAAGCTGTGTTACCACTGTTAATCTTGTATTTCCCCTCACCATGCTGCTATATCAACAGAACATTAGATTAAATAATCTATAGCAAGCTGAAATTTCCAAACTGAATCGACAATACTGTTTGAAACAAACTCACTGTTATTATTATTGTATTTAACACTCTCAATTCGTGCTTAGAATATTTTTTGACTTTATATCGTAAACGGGGACAAATTTCTCTGGTTACTTTTGTTTTAATTTTTAATTTTATTTATATTTTAAGTAAATCAGAGGCAAGATATTGTGACAAATGCTGAGAATTCCATTCTGTATTATAAGTACTGTTTTTGAGATAAAGTATATTACTACTATTATTAATATTATTCACTAAAATACTTAATGATACTTATTATGTAATCTATTATTCTGTCTTTTCAAGTTACAGAAGTCTCTGACCCAACCATACTCGACTGCCAAAGTTGTTTCCAGTCTCATGGGAGATGTTACCAAATAAATTCTGGTCTTACAGACATAACCAATATCCAGTATGGATGTACATGTCCACTGTTTCAACAACATCTATTAAATTCATCTGGGGAATATCTATGTGAAAGTAGTTCATGTACACATGAAAAAGAGATTAAATTCAATAAAAACATTGAAAAATACCACTATATATTACCGGATCAATTTAGGCGAGCAAAACAATTTACAAAACTACTTAAAAAGAATAAAAACTTTTGTACAGAATCATTTAGTGAGTTAATGCTTTTGTTGCTAATTTAATTTTCGTTTAAATTAAATGTTAAACGATTCAGTGTTAAATAAGCTAACTGAACATTGAATAATATTTTTATAAATACATGAACAGACCATACGATTGGATCTTCACTTAAAAATCAAAATTTGTGATTTACATTCGATGGATGGAGGCAGTCAGGAGAATGTCCTGGACCTAGATTTCCTGCTTGCTGGCATTCTTTGGTAATGCATTTCAGAAATTTCGAAGAAACTAATATCCTCTCCGAGATTCAAGTTCACGTCGCCCAGTGTTGAAGTCAGAGACATTACTGCTGATCTTGTTTTGGAATGCTGTGAAAATATGATGTTAGGATGCAGTGATACTGGATTATAAGGTCGTCTAACTTGACTAGAATGTCACTCCAGAACACTTGACCCCATAACTAACTGATAACTAGAAAAGAACTTCCACACTAAGATAGATACAAAAGTCACATTGAGATAAAAGAGGATCGGAACGACAAAAACAATGTTTCATTGATATAAGAATGAAAATTGTACACTGTGGTAACGTATAACTCCATTATGGGTTAAAATTTATCTTGATAAAGTCTCACAGTGTGTTGTATACAGTAATATTTGTTGATAACCACGTTTCGAACACAATTTATTACTGCTCATAATCACATCAAGCTACTCACTCACGCAACTTTCTAACTTCATGTATACAATTCCATTATTTTTTCACTTAATTTGATTGGTAATAGTATTTTCCATATTTCTGGTATGAGGGATGAGTCATTTCTATTGCATGTGTTGGGTTGGGTGTAGACTGAATGAACAAGGATTCAGTAATCAATCTCTCTTACTCTCCACCTACCTAGATTACTTTTTAGAATTTTAACCCTCTCCCACCCACATTATTGTGTGGTTGTGTGTTAGCGCATGCATTGCAATTGCTGAGCTTTTTTCTAAATTACTTATCTTCTCGGGATCAATCACTCTTACCTTAGCTAAATTCTTATGTTCCGACAATGTGACTAACCCTGATCTACTATCTTGACCTATGTAGTTGACTTAACTGACAGTCATTGCAGGGTATTTTGTAAATTATATTATTCTGTCTAATTGCATCAAGCTACATGGTCCTTCATCCCATGGAGCTTGTCCCTGAGTAAGTTTCTAGGTTTAAATGCCACTCTGATTCCTGCTTTATTAGAAATCCCACGTAGGGTCTCACTTATCCCCTCCCTCCTTATATGGTAGACCTGTAGGTGCCTTTAAATCTTTTCTTCTTACTGTATTATCATTATTTGTCTCGCAATTATTTTTATTTTGCTTTTGACCCTTTCTGGTCTTCTTAATGACTTTTTTTAGAATAGTTATTCCACACTAATTATTTAGGCAGTTTGATGTACCATTTGGTGCATTTTGCTTGATTTGTTAGACACTTGACTAAGTTTGCAGTTACAGATCACAATGGATTAGATGAATTTAAGTCTAAATATCTATCAGCAGAATGCGTTGGCTTTTAATAAACGCTAGTGTGCAGTCTACCTTCTTCTATTCGTTTTATTTTGCACTCTAACGTCATAGCTAATTTTTCGTGTTCATTTTCCGATTCAAATGTGAATTTTATTCCCTTTACTATTGAGTTTATACACTTCAAGAAGCAAGAGAGAGAGATATGTTCTGTTTTTAACACTGTGAAAGTTTCCTTCACGTATCTGCGTCGGTGGCACAGTGGTTAGGACTCTCGCTGACCATGCACATGGTCCGGGGTTCGAGCCCTCGCCGACGCATACTTGATATCTATGGTCGGCCTGCAAAATTTGGGCTACCTATATCCACGCTGAAAACTCCATACTTCTACCAAAAGTACGGTGTGGAATCAAGCTGTAATCAAAAATATAAAACAATACTTTTGGAGTAGGATTCAATGTATTAGGAGCAATATTTTCCCAGTTGTCATCCATAAAGATATCTGCTACGATAGGGGATATTGGTAATCCATCTCATTGCTACACCTTCTGTTTGTCTGCATATTTTATCTTGAAATTTAAAAATAGTAGATATGAGGCATTGCTGATTTCTTAAAATAATTTCTTCAATGCATAGTTTCGTCCAGTGAGTAAGCTCACGGTCTGCAGTTAGTTCGTTTTTGGGATGGGAGAGGGTTAAAATTCTATGAAGTAATCTAGTTAGGTGGAGATAGAAAGAGGTTGATTACTGAATCCTGCCTGGCTCATCGAGTCTACACCAAACACAACAAATGCAACACAAATGACTCATCACTCACACCAGAAATACGAAAAATACTACTACCAATCAAATCAAATGAAGAGATGCAAAACAGTGATGGAATTATGTAACAACAGAAGACAAGGGCCAGGCAACAGATCGTTTTATTATGAAAATCAACACGTATTTATGCATATTTCACATACATTATTATAGCTTATGCAAGTAGACAAGCGCAGTCATCTGATTGGTTGTTTATCAGAAGTTAGGCAGACAAACGCAGGCTTCTGATTGGTCGTTTCGGGATTCCTCGACAAATATAGTTCTCTATCTGCGAATCATATTTTGCCACGTTAACTTTGCTGTGATTGGTTGTTGAATCAGCCTTGCTCATATTTTCTCACGGCCTGCTCTCACCACAATTATATAAATGAAATTGGGAAGGTTTGTGAGTAGGCAGCTTGATATGGATTATGAGTAGTGATCAAAACGTGGCTATCAGTAAATATTACTGTAGAACACTCTGAGACTTTATTAAAATAATAGAAAAACAATGTTTCCCAGACAAACTACATAATATATTATATTTATAAAACTTCAGAAATTTAAGCCATAAATAAACGAATGAAAACAGTACGAAAAAGTTATCACGATTACAGGGCTAAAAAAGAATCTTGTCCATCCAAACATGCTATTACCACTATTATTACTGAACTGTTAAAAGGGAAGTTAATTTGTTAGATCAGATGTACTGATCCTATGAGATCAATAATTAGATATGTAAGCTTTAGGCCTTATACTACTGACTGAGTAATATGAGAAGCTGAATACGGCTCACACCAAGCAGTTTAGTGCTTTCTTAACACATTGAAATGAGTTAAATACCGCACGTCTTTTTCATTCATTTAACGGGTGAGATCAATGCAGGTCTGAATTAGTTCAAACTGCCTGACAAGTTCAAAAGTTGGTTATCGATATTTTCCTTTGAGTAACGCCTGGAAAAACCTAATGAGAGAGACAGACTACTGTGTATCATAAGTACTCACACTTAGAAAGCGTATGAGGTTTGTGCTCCACACCAGTCGTATTTTCTGCAATCCATTAACTAAACCAGACGTTTGAGTTAGTCATTAGAGTTTGAAACACACTGAATTTTCATAAAATATGGATCTACAGTTTTTTATTCCTTTTTACGTTCCCCCTGGAACATAGGGCATCAGGCTAAATCTATGAAGTTTCGGTGGCAATGCTATTTATTCCCAGGCGATGGCGATGTTAGCCTCATGTCAAACCTTCCATCTTTACCAGTCTTATTACTTACTGGCTTAATGAGGTGAAGGAGTGAGTCGGTGGCCGCGGATCAAACCCCGAAACACATGAGGTGTGGTTGGTGAACATTCTACCGCAGTGCACTGACGCAAGCATATTGTGAAGTTTCTAGGCTGTGAAACCTCAAATAAACTGTCACTATGCATTAATAATAACACAACAGCAAAGCAGTGTCGATGGTAATTCACTGTCAGAAATAAGCACAGTACAAAAGTATAAATCAAGAATAAAGCGAATCGAATAAAATATGGTCAGTAGAAAGTGGAACATAATAACAGAAATCTGTAGCAAATACCATTTAACTATAATAAGATGATTGTACTAGACCAATTCGAATGTTTCTACACCATTATGACATGATAATGACTACGGAATAACGAAATAGTGTAAAGAAAATATTGGCTCATCACGTCACACTCCTGAGGGGTTCACCAATGGGAAAGTACAAGTTGGGCGAGGATAATATACAGTAGATCATGTGATAAGAAGATGAGAGGTTATTGGAAGCCATGGAGCCAGTTAAAGGGGATTGAAGAGAGAAGAGGATTAAATGTAGACGGACACTGTTGAAGCTCAGTGTCCTCCTTGAAGCCTGATGCGAATAGTAATAATTATAACTAATACTACTTTGACATAAGGATAAAACTTGAGCACTGTGGTAAAGCATAACTCCACTAGGGATAAAATTCTATTCTGATAAAATCACACAGTGTCTGTTATATAGTAATATTTACTGAAACAACCACATTTCGAGCACAATTTATTGCCACTCATAATCAATATCAAAGCATTACTCACACAACCTTCTTGCTTTATTTATATACATGAGTGAAATCGATGATTAGACATTTGAATAAAATCAATAATATAAGATAAAGTACATTCGAAAATAATATTAGTGTTGTCAAAAAATTTTATCATGTTAGCAGTGAGATTATAAGAAATTAAAAATTTAACTAAGGTTAGAATGATTGATTCCACGAAGATAAGTAATTTAGAGAATAGCTCAGAAGTCGCACTGCATACATTAACACACACAACCACACAGTGAGGCGGGAGAGGGTTGAAATTCTAGAAATGACTCAACGCAAATATTAGAGATATGGGAGATTTTATCACCAGTCAAATCGAAGAATAATAAAAAAAGGTTCAAATATATACAATCCATATCATAGCAATCATTGCAATTTATTTTACTATAAAAACGCTCGTCTTATTTCCCATATGATTGTATTTGATTAATAACACTTATATTATTATTTCCGAATGTACTTTCTCTTATATTACTGATTTTATTTAAATGTCTAATCATCAATTTTTACCCATGTATACAAATGAAGCAGGACAGTTGTGTGGATAGTGCCTTGATATTGATTATGAGTGGCAATACATTGTGCTAGAAACGTGGTTGTTTCAGTAAATATTACTATATAACATCCACTCTGATTTTATTAATATAAATTTTGTGGCATAATATTCATACTACTTTTCAGTAGCATAAATTTAAATGCAAATTAAATGATTCAGATTGGTTAACGTATCTTAAGGTCAAAACGTTACGCATTACACAATTCATATAAATTGCTTCTTCTAATTGTTTCAAATTGGCTGATGTCTTATTTTAACCCAATTAAAAATTATGAGCTCTACTCCAGTGACTAGTCATCATAAATTTGAATAAAGCAAGAACAAGAGCGGTTTTCACAGAATAAAATGGTAGCATCATTACTGATTTCGTCCGTTGGCTTCTCATCATCTGCTTACAGACCACAGCCATTATTAAGTATATCTACAGAAACGATTTTAACATACTTGCACAGAGTTCATTTATAAACAAAAACCAATCAATCATCATATTCATACATTAATAATAATATACGTAGTATTAAACACTATTCCGAACAATAATGATCATACACAATGGAAACTTTCGATATTACATAATAAGATGAAAGAGAGGTGAAAATTTCCAGTTACCAGGGCAAAGAAAGACTGATAACTATTTGTTTCTGAACACAAAAGTCAGGTTTCAGGCACTTGATGGAAATGGCTTCAGCAAACTTGAGGAGAATTGAGCTCTTTGGCCTAGTGATAATTTTGAACGACTTTTCGACGTCCACCTCATGACCAGTTTCAAGAAGATGCCGGGCATTTGTTGCCTTTAGACATAAACTTTTGATACATGTTTAGAAAATCGTAGATATGCCCTTCTTTCTGTCCTCCCACTGGAAGGAAGAAACAGTTATCAGTCTTTCCTTGCCCTAGTAGCTGGAAATTTTCACCTCTCTTTCATCTTATTACGTAATATCGAAAGTTTCCATTGTGTATGATCCTTATTGTTCGGAATAGTGTTCAATATTACGTATATTATTATTACTGTATGAATATAGTGATTGATTGGTTTTCGTTTAAAAATGAACTCTGTGCAAGTATGTTGAAATTGTTTCTGTACATATATTTAATAATGTCTTTGGCCTGTAAGCAACTGACGAGAAGGCAACGAATTAAGCAATGATGGTACCATTTTATTCTGTGAAAACCGCTCTTGTTCTCGCTTTATTCAAATTCATTATAGGGAGTAAATGTATGAAATTTCATCATAAATTATCGAAAGATTTGAAATATTCATGTTTTGTTTTGTAGATATTTCATTTGTTTCAAGTTTGATTGCGAAGTGATTTTATTTAGGGAACTTTTGAAAACTGACAGAGAATACGGGATAGCTAGCTGTTTCTCCCTTAATTGGGACTCGTCGACAGTTTGCATTCATGACCCAACTGTCAAGGAACAGACCTAGGATCTTCAGGTTAAAAAGAGAGCCTTTCAACCATTCAGTCATTGGAATGCAATCCGATAGTCCATGAATTCTAACTTCTGTCAGTTCACAATTTCTCGCGCCACCGCCAACCAACGCTATCGGTGAGTGTTAGTATTCACACCCGACCTGGTTGAAGCCACTGGTAATGACTTCCAACTAGAACTCCATTTCTCTGCCTCCTGTACTCAGTCAATAGTAAGCTGAAAGGTCAATGAGCTCACCTTGTAACGATAAAGTCCCGTGTACAATGTCCAGTGATGACATGAGTGATTACGGATGAAGAGTCCCGACTTGGGACAAAACAGCTGTTCAGTACTCCCCGGTTTTCAGTAGTTCTTTAACTGATATCAATCTGTGATCAAACATGAAACTGAACATTTATAATTCTCAAGTGTTAACTTACCTTCCACTTACTACTGTCAAACTATTTCACTGATCTTGTTTTATTCAGTTCAGGTTACCTGCGATCGTCAAAGTATCTCTGTATGCTATAAACATCCTTATAAAATATCAGATCCTGTTCCATATAATGATACTGCAAGCACATTTAAAGTTTATCTTAAGTCTACAATGATCTATCCTGAATTTATTGCAACAAAGTTCAATGTTTCAATGAGTAGATCAATACCTCAATCATGTCTATTAAAACAAACAGGTGATCAGACATTTTGCTCAACTTTCAATGTTCAATTGAATCAATTCAAAAAATGCGAAATTTATGAAATTGTATATAAAGTGAGTTATGATTAATAATACTGCTAATATGATTTCTGAAAAGAGTAATTATTTGCTGAACGCCTTTTCTTTTATATGACTTATTGGATGGAGACTTTTAAGCTATTTAAATGTTGTAAGGACCTGGTGAAGGTAAAGAAGTTCAGCAGTTTTCTTCTAGGCTATTCCATCAAGCTTGCAGTTGTACGCCTACCTAAAGTGCATAAACCGGGGGCAACGTTAAGACCAATACTTGATATGCAAAATTCGCCCTACCATGCATGCTCCAGCTAGATGGTTAGTAAATATTCTCAAACCTTTGCATGAGAAGACACTGAAATATAGCGTCAAAGATCTATTTTAATTCCTAGACGAAATCAAAGATATTTATATCAAGGACAAAACCATGATATCTTTGGATATAACATCTTTATTCACAAATGTACCTCTAGTAGAAACAAGTAACTACATATGTGAATAAGTGTATAACAAGTCGACAAATATTGGCATTCCAATGGAAATCCTAAAATAATTTTTATTAAGGTATACCATGAATATAAATTTCAAATTTGATGGTACACTTTACAGATAAGTAGGGTGGGGTGGCCATGGGCTCCCCACTGGTTCCCATTTTGACAGATTCTTTTCTGAGTAAACTAGAAAATGGACCTCTGAACAACCTTATCAGAAAAGTCTCATTTTATTGCCGATATATGGATGATACCTTCAACTTTTTATGATAATGATTCAGATAAGGGTACAATAATTACTGAATTCAATGAATTACATTCGGCTATGAAATTCACTTGCGAAGAGGAATCCCAAAACAGAATTAATCGCCTTCCTGGATGCCGCCCCCCCCCCCTTACAAGAAAACTAGTTAGTAGCATAAAAAGAAATTTGAATAGAAAAAATACTTGGGCAGGAAAATATACACACATTTTCACAGCTTCATTCCTCTCCAGTACAAAAAAAAATTTAGTGAAGACCCTCACTAAGCCACAGGGTTAAAACTATATGCTTAGAAGAAGTAATTGAAGATGAACTAAGCATTGTATATGATGCCTTGATTGAAAATAGCTATCTAGACAAATTCATCTGGAAACGCATAGCTAAGAAAGCTGAAAAGGACTATTCTCCATCCGTTAACAAGAAGCCTTTATGCATACAACTGCAATTCAAGGGCGATATGTCAAGCGAAATAATTACAAAGAAGTTAAGAAAATCAGTTTTAAAGAACTTTTAATGTTTTCTACATGACCAATGACGATTTATCAATTGAAATAGGAAGTACCTAGAGTAGCTAACCACTTCAAATTGTATCTACCGATTCAACTGCGCTTGTGATGGAGACAGTTATATTGGCTGTTGTTCTAGGAACTTAATTCTTTGTGCTCGAGAATATCTCCAAGTATGGCTAAGTAAAGGTGTGGTAAAAGCCATTAACAGTTAGATATTAGAGCACCTGGTCTGAACCAGCCACAAAGCCAGCCAACATTGAAGAATCCTTCTCTATCATCTATCGGGTACCGAATGAATTGCCGAAAACATTGAAGCACTGCATGCTCCAAACAGCAGAGGCAATTGCAATTCGCCTCAAACAACCAGTGCTCTGTGTGCAGAAGAAGCAAGTACACACCCTACTACTGCCCTGTTCGGCCTTCCGTAGAGACTGTAAATTCATGAATTTGTAATATTATCCTTCCTAATTTGGCTGTTCGACATTCAGTTTATTGTATGTTGATGCTGTTGAGCTGTAATCTATCAATATTATTGATTCGATGTTACTTAAACAGCAACATTAATGTTGTTCATAACACTAATTCATTCATTCACTATCATGTATATATAACTGTAGAGCCTGATGATGAAGGGGTTATCGAAAAGAATATTCTTTGTTCATTAACCATTATTTTTATATGCTAAATGGAAAACTTTGATTAGTGAAAAAAGAATATCTTTTTCGAAAATTTCTTCCTTAGGTTCTAGAGTTATATATCCATATTAGTTAAGGTACAAGTGGTGTGGAAAACATTTATGCTTTATTTAGGTTACGTTGCATCATTAAGTTCAAAGACCCAAGATGTATTTTTATCAACAAGTTAATTTACTAGACTATATAATATCATTTTTGGTTGATGATGATTCATAAGTGAAATTTAGAACGCGCATTTCCTCCCGTTCAGGATTTGTCAGCTGCATGTATTTGCATTCTCAGTGAGTGATGAGGCTAGAACCCAGCACCCATCGTTTTAAGCGCTAAAACATTATTCACTACGCCTTCCGTCTATGAGAATCACCTCTTTTGCCAAGTAACGTTTAACCACAGCGATAAAGAAAACTTTCTACTCTGTATATCTGTTCCTATCCTTCAGCAGCCGTCCAAAGTTCATCCAGCAACTGAAAGATGTCTTACCTAACCTTAGCCATTCTTCGTGCATATACCATTTCAGCTGTTACTGTAGTTCAAGTTATATGGGGTGCACAATTAGGCAGGTTCGTCTACGGGTTCGAGAACATTTACCGGCATGGTTCATGTGCGTCGTTTGCACAGTGGTTAGGACTCTCGCCGACCATGCACATGGTACGGGGTTCAAGCCCACGCCGACGCACACCTGGTATCTATGGTCGGCCTGCGAGTTTTGGGCTACCGATATCCACGCTGAAAATTCCACACTTGTACCAAAAATACGGTGTGGAGTCAAGCTGTAATCAAAAATTAAAAAAATAAAAATAAGCAAGGGGGAAATTAAGTGCATAAAAAGCTCAATTCTCTCACACTTGTACTGCTTATGCTCCTTCACTCTTATATTTACCTAGAATTTCTGGAATTTCCTCCCATCTGGCTGGCGTCACAATCCCCACAACCGATCTGGTACACACAATTCTGTTGGTTCTCTTCCTGTATTTTATCCTTAACCTTCACCAGTGTTAAGCGTAAGATGTCTGTTACACGAAATTACATATTTTTGTAAAGATTGTCAGCGATTCGCTTTATTTCCACTGTAATAGCCCAGATCTTAGCAACAGGTTTCGATCCATCCTTATTCTCCTATCTTAAATATTTTTTCCTTAATATCTTTAGGATAATTATTCGATTCAAGAGTAGAGTGAACCAATTTTAGTTCCCTGCTAATCTCATCTTCTTCAGTAACTAGACGCGTGGCTCTGATAATGAGATACTTAGCTACAGTTACTTTGATGGTGAGGGGATGTGCTAGTGTTAGAAAGAAGAGAACACGAAGTTCAGCAAATATGTCGATCTTTTCGACGATTTCATTCTCAAAAGCTGTACAATCGCATTTATATAGATTATTTTACATGGATACAATTAGTATTTGTTTAATTCCACATAGTAACAAAGGTGATAATAATTTTCACCTTGATATGAAAGTTTGAAGGTAGGAATATAGATTACAAGAAAATTAAGAGAAATTATGGTTGAATATAGATTACAAGAGGCATAGAAACAAAACATTACACAGGATTGGAATATAGTTGTAAAATGGTTATTCTAAACGGATTACAAGTGTGATCAGGAGGAGCATGGAAATAAAATTAAAATAACTAGTTTTATAACTGAAAAAAAAATTAGGTGGATTAAACGAAGATTGAGGGACTAAGAATCAGACACACAGCGAACGAAAAATGCTCTAAAGGAAAAAACAAGAACGAAAACAGACGAGGAAGAGAAAAAAAAAGACGGAAACAAAGGGAACATACCGAACTAGGTCCATGGTAGTTGTAGAGGTTGGACTAACTTCTTTTGAACACACAGCTCCGGCTTCTCGATGCATATTGCGAGGGCTTCTGCAGTACAAAGAAGTCGGAAACATATTGCTCTTGGTAGGTTTCTGTTGACTTTGTAAATCAATCAGCTGAGATGTTTTGGGAGGTGTTCACCAAATGTTCAATAATGGCACTTCTGACTGAACCGGTGCCTAATCTTTGCAGCCACGCTGGGTAATGTTCTCTAACACGTTTTGAAAGGACGCGCATACAACGACCTATGTACCTAGCTCCGTACGAGCAAGTGAACTGGTATATGCACATTGAATTGGTCATATGCGAGAGTTTATCCTTCGTGTTGTTTCGAAGTATTCGACGGTTAGAGAATATCACTCTTAGTGTTGCTTCAGGGAAGGTCTTCTTTAAAGAGCTGATGTGCTAATTAGTAAGTAGTCTAGGTATCTGTCCGAATCTGTCGGCTTCCTGAAGATGTTTTTTATTTTAAGTTTACCATTTGGTTGTCTTTTTTATTAAACAGTCCAGGAAAGCCAAATTATTTCCACGGGATTCAACAATGGCGACGTTATTTATATTTTCAACTTCTCTAAAACTTATGCACAGATATAATTTTTACACACCTGAGTACTTCTCACTCGATGCCAAATTATATTTTGAAAGCTATTCATTCGATGAAAACTTGAGCCTAATTCACATGAACTATACTTTATTGTTTGAGGCGTTCCTTGACATAATGACGACAACTCATTGAAATTTGGGAGCTCACTATTCCTCTGATCTGACTCTTCACCTCCCTCCCTCTCTCTCTCTCTATTTTTAGGATGGATCCGCTTACTATGGGACATTACACGCTGAAGATAAAAAAGAAGGAGATTCTATTTCTATGCTAAGAAATTTTCATATTGATTTTCTGTGTTTTAATGAAGGCAAATCAAAGATGTCTACAACGTATTTCTATGATAGGTGAGATCATTATCATCAGTATATGAGTGTATTTCATTATTTACTAGGCATTATAATATTTTGTTGACGTATCTGTCTTGAAAACTAGGGGAAAATCTTCTGCCTTTAAGTGATGCGATATGATGGAACAATCCCTTCTACTGTGAACAGTTAGTCCTTTAAAACAAAATTTGAATATCCTCCCATCAGAAGACTGAATTTATCTGAAAAATAATGATTAAGTATTTGAGTACTATATTTCGAAGGAGACCTGATCACACGCATAATATACTTCTCAAATCGATTTATAGGAAAAAATGAAAGGTCAGCTGGCAGAAACATAATGATAGTGGGACTTAAGAATGATAGAGAAATAATAATGATTCAAGTGTTTGTGTTGTAGGGATTTGATTGGTTACATTGGTTAGAAAACCATTGGAAAACCTGGGAGCAATGAACAGCTGCTTCGTCCCAGTTTTGGACTCTTCATCGATACGCACCCACCACCAGGGTACAAATCCAGGACCTTCTGGTTACCCCGGTGTGTAGGTATTGATGAAGAGTCCCAAACTAGTATGAAACAGCCAGCTGTTCAGTACTCCTAGGTTTTCCAATGGGACCAATATCAGCTTATGATGAAATCCTGTAACCAATCCAATTCCTAGAAACCAACACTTGAATATCGATGAGATACTCACTAGCAACTTGCCGTATTCAGGTAGGTAGTTACCTGTGATTCTCGTGAGAAATCGTGACCATAAGGATGCTGCAGGTTGGGTGTGAGGACAAATACTCGCCGCAGAAGACATTGGCTAGTGGTCGTGCTATATTGTGAATTGTCAGAAGTTGGAATTCGTGAACTGGCCATTGGATCGGGTCCCAGTGGTTTAATGGTCTATGAGCTCGCTAGCCTTGTAACCAGAATGTCCCGGGTTTGAACCCTGGTGCCGGGTGCGTACCGATAGGGAGTCCCAAATTGGGACGAAGCAGTTGTCCATTGCCCCTAGGTTTTTCAATGGTTCTCTAACCACTGTTAGCCCATGATGAAAGTTCTGTGACCAAAATAATAATTATTAATTTATATTTTGCATAAACGAGTAAGTTTTTAAGAAATGCATGCCATTTTTACGGTCACGATCAGTTTTCCTATAAATTAGAATCGTGAAATATTATAAATTAACATATTTTCAAAAGTTTAAATTGTTTGATCATGGTACAAGTAATCAGAACAGGTTCTTATAAATGTTAAATTGTAAGCCCTTCACCGTCAAAGTTGAGTGACAATCCAAATTTCGTGCCATTTCCTGCTGATAGTTATGGTCAACCAGTGAACTGCCTATATTTGGGTAATTGCTCAGTCGCCACGTGACTAAAAAGCTTTTTCAAGAAGAGAGAAGAATCTCCTGGGAAACAAAGCAATAAGTGTCCAGTTAAACATACAAAGATGTATTGTTACATCAATTGGTAATTTTCAGTCCATATGCGGCTAGGAACCAGAATAATGGCGAATTAATCCATACAAAATGATAGTGGAAACATCTAGGAGCTGGAAATTGTCATCACGCGAGTCAGTGAGATTTCAAATGCAACCAGCAGATTTACTGGCACCGAACAGATGGTTGTTGGGATTTTTTTAATTGGTATATAGGTAGTATTCCACAACTGTCATCCAGGATGAGTGGCGGAGGAAGGTAATGGGTAATTCACGAGGGAGTTATAGGATATGGGACCAGTAATAGTCTCGGATCATTTTTCATTTTGAGTGGTCAACTGTCTACATTCTTTATTCTCATGCAAATAGTCATATAGAAGGTAAAATGGTGAGAGCGGAAAAAGGAGACAAACGACAGTAGCAGAGAAGAAAGCAAGTGGAGTCCTCAAAGAGCATATATATATATATTATTCAAGTGATGGTTTGTAGGGATTTGATTGGTTTCAGGATTTCATCATGAGCTTACATTAGTTAGAGAACCATTGGAAAACCTGGGAGTATTGGACAGCTGTTTCGTCCTAGTTTGGGACTCTTCAGCAGTACGAACCCACCGGGATTCGAACCCAGGACCTTCCGGTTACAAGGCGAGCTCGTATACCATTAGGCCACTGGGACCCTACCCAATGGTCCTTGAATTCTAACTTCTGCCAATTCACGACATAGCGCAACCGCTAGCCAATGTCTTCCTTGGCGAGTATTTGTCCTCACACCCGACCGGCTGCACCCTACTGGTCACGACTTCCCACTTGAACCCAGGTAACTACCTACCTGAATAGGGCCACTCGCCAGTGAGCATCTCATTGGTATTCAAGTGATGGTTTGTATATATTACTTGTGTATATATATATATTACTTTACATTACTTTTGATCGTATAGACAGCTTTCTGTAAACACATGTGGGATGCAGTGGGTGAGGGGATGCTAAATTTTACGGACACCTATCTTTAAAGCTTTATATGAACTATTATCAAGATTTGACCGAATAGTGTTCAACATTGCTATTGGGCACCGAGTGAGAAATAGACATGTGCAAAAATTACATTTGTAAAATCTCAGTGAAATTTAAATGAGTAATTCCGAGGTTTCCTGACTTCGACAAACTGGTTCGAACTTCTTCAGGGAAATTATTCGAAATTAACATCACAGAGAGTTATATATAAAAAGAATATCTTGATAGAGGAAGAAAGACCAGATTTGCAGTATAAAATGATGCCATCATCATTCTATTTCACAGGTCCTCATCAGCTAACTGCAAACTACCTGAAATTACAATGGTTATAAATAATAATCACATTTCATACTTCAATGTTTGAAAGGAATAATTACCCAAACACCCAACTAACACAAAAGGAAATTAAAAATTATTTTAAAAAAAAAAAAATAAAAAAAATATATGGATATTTTTTAATGAGAGAAAATCCCTTAGTGGAGTAGAGAAGTAACCAATTTCAATATTTAAATAAAAGTCCTTGATCTAACTTTCCTATTTTAAACCCCAAACTATAAATTTTTGTTCAAGCACAAAAACTTATGATGATCTTGATATATCCAAAAGGGAATTACCTCCTTCTCGTTGTATTTAACCCCTTTTATTTGGGAAGGTAAAGGATGTTTTTTCCCACCTTCCCACCCTTAGGGGTAAAACTTCCAAATTTTCCCCGCCGTTTTTTTTTTCCTTCATCAAATTTCCACCCAACAAACAAGTGATTTTGTCCATTTTCCATGATGCGATATCTCTACAATGCTGGTACCACTGGACTGTTGACACCAGGCTGTTCTCCGTCTCAGCAGCTGCTGCTCTCACTGGCTGTTTTAGCATCCAGTAGTTGCAGATATATGAAATCTGCGTCAGGGACAGATGCGACCTGGAGAAAAAAGTTCCTACGAAATATTAAAATAATCAGCTTACCCTCTCTAATACTAGAACGCTTCAAACATATACCACAACGATGAAAAATCCATCAGTTGATCTGCTATAGCTTTTTAAAGTCATGATACCACCGCACGAACAAGTTCGCTCCTTTCGGAGCAACCCTAAATCCAGGCAATACTGCAATACAGTATCCTCCTCGAATTGCAACCGTAACCTTGTAAGGGCACGCATTTGAAATGAATCAAGCGCTATACAACATTGAACTACATTCATGAATCTCATTGGATAATTCGCTGATTGGTAGTTAGTGGTGTCGAAAGTTTAACTTCGCCGTTTGAAAGGTAATAGAGAAAAAATTGTAAGATGAACACGCCCGGAAGACAAATATTACAATTTTTTAGCTTGAGTAACCATCAATTAATGTGCTTTTAAACTATGAAAAATGAGGAGGGGAGATGAGAAAAGATAGAAAATAGAAAAATCTAATTAACATTGTCAGCTTATACGTCTACACAGCAACTCAAGAAGGTTAAAGTTCATCAAATCAGAAACTTGTTCAGGGTGAATAATGACAATGAAATGTTTTTAACTAATACACTAAATTCTCACTCTGCCACGTGATGGTGGAAGGTCCCACAGTTCAGTTGCTTCTCAAGCCATTTGGATATGTTCTTCCATCCTCTCGCGTCAAATGCGATTAGTGCGTCGGTGGCACAGTGGTTAGGACTCTCGCCGACCATGCACATGGTCCGGGGTTCGAGCCCACACCGACGCACACCTGATATCTATGGTCGGCCTGCAAAATTTGGGCTGCCGATATCCACGCTGAAAATTCCATACAGTGTGGAATCAAACTGTAATCAGAAATAAGAAATACCTATGTATGTGACACTACACACACACACATGTGAAATGATATACACTCTGGGACGTGACATAAACACTTCTGCAATACTCAGCATTTTCGTAGAGCATTGTTTTTGGCTTCTTCACCAATTATAAACCGGACTGCTTATTAAGTTTTGTGGATTAGCGAAGTTAATCTATGTCTTAAAATTCTACTATTTACTCCCTCATTGTATGATACTTTGTTGAAAACGTCTTTCTTAGGGAAGAGAACAGATTGTAGGTTTTAAAACCAGATGACTTCTACACCTTTAATTGGTGGATGGTGATTAGCAGTGAGATCCAGGATGTGTAAATCGTCCTATTTCGGGCTGCTCATCTGGATATCTATTCAGCCGGCGGGAAAATCTGAAATTCAATTAAATAAATAACTTCTACAACTAACTGTTTAACATTTTTAAAGGATATCCATTGTCAACAAGAATATCCATCAGAATTTTAGTTTCTTTTGATTCTCTGTAACACAAGCTGTACAAATACGCTGAATTCTCTTGACTAAAAAACTTCATCAAGTCTATCTTGTACTACAGCGGACAAAAGCTTTGAACATTTAAATATTGCCCTGTCCAAGTAGACTTTCCAAAAATTGATCGCTTTATTGAACCATCTTCTTTCCGATTCAGAAATATGTCTGAAAATGCAAGTTGATTGTAACTTTCTTCCTCGCAAGTAAGACTTATATGATTTTGTTTCTATGCCTGTCAACTCTCAGTCAGATTGTTCCAAATTAAATAACTTTCTGTCGGAAATTAGTCAGTGGTCCTCTTCAAACTGTCTTAAGCTTAATCCGTCTAAATGTCAGGTAGTCAGTTTCACTTTCAGACGTAAATGTGACCTACAGCAAATAGTTAGCTCACATGGCCCCACTCTCATTGACGGCACAGAGGTTGAAAATACATCTAATGTCAAGTACCTTGGGCTGAGTTTTTCCACCGATCTTTCCTGGTCTTCCCACATCTTGTTAGTTACTAGAAAGATGTTTCGCTTAACGTTCTACATTAGGAAATTTAGGCAGTCTGGTATAAAGCAATCTTTACTTTCTCAATTTGTAAATTCTTGCATTCTACCCATCCCCTTTACTGCTCCCCATTAGTCTTTCCTGGACTACTCAAGAAAAACTTTGCTTCTCTGAGAAGGGCACTAAAAGCTGTTAGTAGGGCAAGTGGGATATCGTTAAACCAACTGGTGAACACTATTGTGGATAGACATATAATGTCATGTAAGAAACTAGCGAATACAATATTGTCGGACCCCGACCATCCTCTCAATACGCAGCTGTCTCCTTGCATTTCATCTGGTAGAACTAGAAGCAGCTATAGGAGGCTATATGCTAGGACTACCAAATACAAAAACTCCACAATACCATATCTGGAACAGCTGTTATGTGATGAGAAATCCGTTAGGTATGACACGATAAACTTACTGCAGCACTCTAACAAATAGTCTCATTAGTTTTTGTTTTCCTTTCCTCGTTACTATTACACTGTTGTTCTCATCTTCTACCACACATCAACTTTATATTTCAAATCCTGTGGTGCATGGTTTGAAATGAAATACTCTACGCTGTTTTTTTCTTAATTTTAAATTTTTATTTATTTTATTTATTTATAACTTATTTATTCTATTTTTATTTATTTATCTTTGATTTTTAAAAATGTTATATAATTTATGAGGTGATTAGATGCAATATACTGTAATGCACGCTGAAAATTCCATACCTGTACCACAAATACCGTTTGGAATATAGCTGTTATTATTATTATTGTACATTGTTATGTCTAACCAGTAGGTGATTTCCTTCTATTGTTGCAATTCGAGGAGGTTAGCGTTTCCCAGTATTTCCTGGATTTGAGTTGCGCTGGAAAGAGCGAATTTGTTTGTGTGGTGGTATCATGACTTTAAAAAGCTATACCAAATCAACTGATGGATTTTTCATCGTTGTGGTACATGTTTGAAGCCTACTAACACTAGAGAGAGTAAGCTGATAATTTTAATATTTCGTAGGAATTTTTTTTCGCTAAGTCGCTTCTTTCCCTAAGGATAGCAGATAGAAAAGCAACTACTCTTATACCCATTACCACCAGACTTGTAAAAAGGGGGTCTATAATACATACGGACGAATGGAAGGGTTACAATTCCCTGTCATCTTTGGGATATATCCATCATAGAGTCAATCATTCAAGTGATTTTGTGGATCCCGTTACGAGAACGCATACAAATTCTATTGAAGGATTTTGGGGCAGGTTGTAAAATAGGATAAGAGCTATTAATGGATCTCAAAAGGAGCTCATTTACAGTCATTTAGATGAATATATGTACAGAATATGGTGTAACTTCTCCATTGACAGTCCCATGCTAAACTGGGAGATGTTTCTCTCACATGTTCGAAATAGATATCCCATGTAACTATTTTATTATCTATTTTATGCTTTTTTTCTATAAATATACATTTCTATTCATAATTTATGCCCCTTTACTGTGATTGGTCCGTTCAAGGTCGTTTGGTGATTGGTTGTTAGTGGTGTCGAAAGTTTAACTTTGCCACTCGTCGTCATCTGGGTGTACTTGCATCCCCCAGTGAATCAGTGATGGTGTTCCCACCGAGGCTTGGTTCTGGTACCCATAGTTTCAAACGCCAAAAAGTTATCCACGCAAAAATCTAAATTGAAATAAGTAGTTAATAAGACACGAGGATATCAAAGCAGTCAGGATCAGGAAAGCAAGACAAGCTTTCATTACTCTCAAGTCTGTGTGGAGGTCAACGGCACTAGGCATGAAAAATAAGATCTGGATTTTCAACTCCAATGTGAAGTCAGTGTTACTTTATGGATCAGAGATTCTGCGCCACTTCACGAAAGGCACTTCGAAAAAACTACAGATTTTCATCAACAGCTGTCTCCGCTCAATACTACTCAAAATCAGATGACCGGCCAGAAAAGACCAGCAACAGGAATCTCTGGTAGCGGACGAACTCGGCAGGAACCGATTTTGCAATAAATATGCAGGTAGAAATGGAGGTGGATTAACTGGCCATACTCTGAGAAAACGAACCATCAAGTGACATCACACAACAGCCCATTGCTCGAGTGTAACTCGAACGGGAAGCAGAGAGGTGGTAGTCAGTGTGAGGATGACATAGAGGAGGTGATGTGAGGAGATGAAAGTATGTGAGCAGACGTCGAGCCAGGTGCAAACGTTGACAGAGAACCCAGCGCAATGGAGGTGTGAGCCTGAAGCGGTTAGGACGGTTGACGAAGATGCACATGGTCTGGGGTTCGATCCCCGGCTGACGCACACCAGATATCAATGATCGGCCTGCTAAATTTTGGCTACGAATATCACATGCTGAAAATTCCATACTTGTACCAAAATACTGTGTGGAATCAAGCTATAATCAAAAATTAAAAATAAATTAATGGGAATGTTGGTGTGTACTTGGTGGTTTTCATAGCCTAGCTGGTTAAGAGGATAACACTTTGACGTTTGGAACTAGGGGTACCGGGTGTGAGATTCGGTGGGAATGCCATCACTCACTGGGGAATCCAGGTACATCCAGTTGACGAGCTCCGAATAAGACGAAATGCAAGTTGTCCTTGATTCCACTGCCAGCCATCATCCACCAATTGAAACAAATATTCAGTTAAAGTATCTCACTACTTATAAGTACACAGTAGTATATATATATAAGACTAGGAATAATATTAGCTTAATTCTTGGAATTGTTTACACGTAAAATATTCACTCCCTTACAGTAGAATCTTCACGTGAAAAATGTTCATCAACAGTTTATCTCGTTTGATGCAATATAATTCTATCTGAAAAACAAGAATCGCTCATCTACAACATTTTCCCTTCAATATCTTCTTGAAGTGTTCCACAGAGGTAGGTTGGAAGTCATCGAAGAATGTTTGCTCGGAAGGATATATAGTTGGACGATGAAAGCAACATGAGAAATGTAGATACATTATACTGGACTGAAATTCAAGTAGCTTAGTGGTTTCAATGGCCCACCAAATCAATATATGCAGTAAAGCTTAAAAAATATGAATTAATTTTGAATTATTTACCTAAAAATATTCTCTTCTAATCCATTTTCACCCCCCCTTCTTTTCAAGATCATTTTCCAGTCAATTCTTTGAACGAAATCATCAAGTGATATTATATGAAAGTAAAAATGAAACCAACACTGTCTCTGCAATGAAATATGTTAAACATGGGCCAACTAACAAGGTATCGTTAACAACATTCACTAATTCCGACTCAATTCCCCTGTCGATTTCCTCTGATCTCTCTAATCAACTTTTTCTAACGTTAATCAGATTGAAGGAGAATGATATAAGGTTGGAAATTATTTCAGCTGTATCCAGTAAGTCATTGTTATTATTATTCCCTTGCTTTTTAAGTAGAACATATGTACTTCACCCAGTTCCCTAAAGACTTTCTTTCAACTGGTTCCACCATTACCAACTGAAACTTTCATTTCTTTCTCACACGATCTCTTCCATGTCACCATTGAACCCACCCCTAAGTCATCTTTCGTTGCCCATTTGGGTCCCACTCGAGGACTTGCCTTGAGTGTGATGTCACAGAAAGGGCCTACACAGTGTATGTCCGGTCTATCTCTATTTCCTAGTACATAATTGTTGTGCAATACGTTTTTTTGAGTCGTTTGCTGTCAAGCCAGTTTCTTCTCGTTTGCTTATCCTTTCTGGTTGTTCTATCTAATCCCCAATATGCAGTGAATCCAAATGTTGATAAAAGTGTTCAGGCAGTTGAAAAAACACACTTGATGACATGATGCATCTCTGATCCACACAGAAGAACTGATTACACTCCGATCCAGCTGTTTATATCCTCATCACTGTTGACTGTAGGTGACCATTTCTGTGTGCGTATTTCAGATCACATGTTCTTTTGGAGTCTGGTATATTGGCCGTTCTAGTCATATCCTGTCCAAAAGGGTAGAAGAACAGTATCCAGCATGGTTACAGAAAGGTAATAGTGGCTGTGTAAGGAGTGCGATAATCGAATACCTGGTCAACACTAGTCATTCCATCTCAACAAATGCATCCCTCAAAGTAATCTACAAAATGAATGACAATCTGCCAAAGGGAATACACTTTCGTCTCCTTGACACTGTTGAAGACTTAGTCACTCACTATGAAGAACCAGAGCTATCCATGTGCAGATGCTCTATGTTCTCCACTAACTAACATACTAAATGCTTCTTTCTCCAAAAACGTTGTACCTGTTCGATGGAAAGACATTAAAATAGTCCCTGTCCCTAAACCTGTAAATAGCAAGAACGTAAAGTTCAGACCCACTGCTATCGCTTCCCCGTTTCTAAAAGATCATGGAAAAACTAGTACCTGTTAAACTCGAACCCTCCCTTAAAAGTTTTGAAGACCTCAAACAATTTGCCTATAGACAAGGCAGGAGCACGTTAGACGCTGCAGCCGTCTTACACAACAGTATCGTCTCATCATTAGATAAACGTGCCAAATACGTCCGCTGCACGTTTCTCCACTTCACTTCTGCTTTCGACTCTGTACCTAGATGTCTCTTGCTAAATAAGCTCTCCATGACACAAACTGAGTCCTGGGTCACTAACTGGTTGCATTCCTACTTTTCAAACAGAATGCAGCATACCGCATACAAAGGCAAATCCTCCTCTGCTGTGCTCACTGAAGCTGGTGTCCCCCAAGGTGCTGTAACCTCCCCACTTCTCTTTTCTTTCTTTCTACATGACTTACCATCTTCAAATGACATTATTTCTATTAAATATGCTGACGATCTGACTGTATCTTTGCCTGCCTGTCAATTGTCAAAGTGACTGCTCAAAACTAAATGGCTTCTTATCAGAAATCAGCCAGTGGCCCAAGGAAAACGGTCTCACCTTAAACCCCTCCAAATGCCAAACAGTCAATTTCACCTTTAGGCACAAATCTGACCTAAACAAACTGGTTAGCACTCACGAGGTGTGCAACATTGATGGCACTGAAACAGAGACCAAGTCGGAAATTAAATACCTAGGCGTCATTCTATCTACTGATCTTTCCCGGTCGTCGCATTTCTCGATGATTTCTAAGAAAGTATTCCGTCTTACCTTCTACATCAAGAAGTTAAGATATTCTGGAATAACCCAACCCAACGCTATTCCTACAATTCGTTAACTCTCGCATTCCGCCTATTATTCTCTATTGTTCTCCCTTAGTTTTTCCACGGCTGGCTACTGAAGAAAGACTATACCTTATTACGCAGAATGTTAAAGATTGTCAGGAGGGTAAGCCACAGGGTGCCACTTAACCAGCTTGTTAATATTCTGGTTGACAGGCACATGGACTCGTGTGAAAAATGGGCTAAATCCATTCTATCTATCTAACTCACACCACCCTCTTCATTCATAACTCTCCCGCCTTGTATCTCATTAGGCAGAATCAGAAGCCTATATAGAAAACGATATGCTCACAATAGCAAGTACATCAACTCAACCATACCCTACTTAGCTCGTATTCTGTGAGATAGAGAAAGCATTAGGCGTGATACCTATAACTTGTTAATTAGTCAGTAAAACGACTGGATTTCGTCTTTCCAACTCATATCATTTATAGGTACAACGTTTTTTTTCTTACTTTTCCTCTTCTCTGTTCTGTGCAGCTTTGTTTCTTTCTTCTGTTTACGCCAGTAAATATGCTAGTAATATCTACTTTTCTAACACCTTCAAACACTCTGTTCAATTTTGGCTGTGCTACCGACATGCCAATATGTTGTTGTCATAATGAACTGAGATTTCCTTAATCTATGTAGAATTTTATTTATTTTTAATGTACTAACTGAATGCAATAGTGTATGTAGTGAAATGATGAGAATTCCATTCTGTATCACAAGTACTGTTTTGGAATAAAGCAAATTATTATTACACAAAAGTATTCCATCACTTCTACTGTCATGGTGACAACCTTGCTTGTTGATATCTACCAACTTGATTTTGTCCGGTTGTTTTTCTAACTCCTGATAACTTTTGCATTTCTTTAGAACTCTTACATAATTCCATATCTTTCTTTGTTTCTATGTGCATCCTGATTACATTTCATTCATCACAGTGTTCATCTCATTGTTTAACTCTTATGCATTGACTAATGTCAACAACTATTGTAACAACAGAAGACAAGGGTCAGGCAACAGATCGTTTATTGAGAAAATCAACAGATATTTACAGATTTTTATGTATATTATTATTATCGCCATTGTTAATGGAGAAGCAAACTCTTCTGATTGGTTGTTTTTTTGTTGAAGGTGATTCTGTGCTGCTTGTGACCGTTTCTTAGAAAGTTAAGCCATTTATCTGCGAATCGTATATGCCCAGGTTAAGTCTGTTCTGACTGGTTGGTAAGTTACGCAAGGTTAGGCTTAGCTATTGTTATTTCTCATGACCTCGATTCAGTACGCAAACATAGATGTAAATTGTTGTCTACAAATTTTGGCTTGCAGCTAGATCTCACTCACTCCACTATGAAAACTCATCACTTTTGTTACTACCCTCTGTCATGAAAAAATTGTATATAAATGCGATTGTACATCTAAAGAAAATGAATTTGACGAAAAGAGCCTCTTCTCTAAGCTACACTTGTGTTTGTTACTATTAATGCCAGTAACTGAAACAATACTATCCAGGTCACGTGAGTGAAAGAGGTAACTTTCTTCAAATTCCTCTAGTCATAGGTGAGTAGTGCTTGTTGTTGGTGGTTGGCTGGTTGGTTGGTTGGTTGGTGGGTGGGTGGGCTTTTTCATCACTTTTGTCTTTTCTGTAACCCCTTGAAGTCCTGTCTTGGCTGCTTCTTCTGGAAAAACTCAACGGTTTTCTCCTATAGACCTTCTAGATTGTCAGCCATTAGACACAAAATATCCTCAAAGTCTACATCTTCTTGTCAGTTACTAGTGAGCATAAGATTGATCCTCAGGGGTGGTGATCTTTAGAGATTTGACGGCTTTCGAGTTCGATCGCAGACTAATTCCAGTTAAAGAACCTTTGGAAACAGGATAAAATTCAACCAGCACTAATGCTGAGAACTAGACGCTAAACGCTAGTGTTAATCCCGAAATGAACAACTCATATGTCAAGCCTAATTATATTACTTCAATAGCAGATTGATAAACGCTATTCTTATGTTTAAAGGCGTCATTATGTATATCGATTTTCAATTTATCTTGCATTTTCCCGTTGCATATCAGTTTTAACTAATCTCCATTTTTATTCGCCTAGAAAATATACTAATCGAATATTGTTTGATTGATGGTGTATTCAATTCGTCCAGTAGAAAATTACCAACTTCTGACAATGAAAATCATCACAGAGTAAGGTAAGTGAATCACATCATCTGATGCCTTTGATGTTGTATCGTCTTAAATTGAGAATTTGTTTTCACGTATTACCGGTTTGACAAAGTTGATGGCTAACCAGAATTTGGGTGATTCCGAAGTGATTCAGCTCTTTCAGCTAAATCGAACTAGAGAAACAACTGATGACCTGGGCCAAAGAAGGATAAAACAGCTTTCGGGTGTTTACATTACTTGTGATCTTTTCTGGCTAGTAAACACTAATGCTTGATGTGAGTAATGTCCAGCAGATCATTTATAACACCAAGAAGATCGATCAAACGTTGTAATCTGAACAATTTGGGTCGCTAAATAAAGCTGTAGTCAATATTGTTATATACTGCTGAGTGGTTAATAGTCCTGACGCAAAAAGGCGGAAATCAGAAGACCAGCTCCTTCACGATGATACCTGTATTTTCCAAACAAGGAAAAATAATGTCTGCCACACAAGTGTATGAGTGAAATGGTATGTAGTGTACGAATTGTGTGAACAAGTATGAACAAGTCTATATAAGTGTACAATGCAAAAGTATATATGAAAATGACTAATACATATGAACCAGTAAGACAGTCATCTTACCATGATTGGTTGTAATGTCATATGATAACAAGGTCATACATGTTTATTTAGTTAATGGACAAACAAAGCATGATGTCAGTTACAATGGAATATCGATCCATATACACATAGCAAAATATAATAGACTGTCAAAAACAAAACACACATCATGTGACTACATATCAAATATATATATAAAATTTTTCTTGTGGGTTCCAAGTAAAATATAGGGCTTCAACAACAACAAATCTCCACTTTATTCTATTTCCTACCATCCTTTTCAGCTGGGTCCACGATTGACTGAACTCTTTCATCTCTTCCCCAAACGTTCTGCTGCATGACACCTACACACCGACGACCCACTCATCGCTTTCCATTGGGATTCTACTCAGTGGGGGCATGACGCACGACGTCATTCAACGGCCTCTTCAATATATGCCCAACCCATCTCCACTTTCTCCCATAAATTTGTTGAGCGATAGGCTTTCAGTTGGTTTTTTCTTACAGTTTCTTTTTATTAATTCCTTCTGGCCATTCAATCTTCAGTATGCAGTCAGCTAGTGAATTGGGCGGCTGTTGATGAAAGTCTGCTGTGACCTGTTGGAAATCCTTTCCAAGGACACGTTCATCGAGTTTTTGACTCTTATAGAAGTACTGACCAACTTCACATTGGTGTTGAAAAATACGAATCTTGTTCCATATGCTGAGTGTAGAAGATTTCTAAACTGCTTTCAGATTGGTTGATGAAGACGTATCTTGTCTTTCCAATCATCTCTGGCTGGCTGGCTGGCTAGTTTTGACATCTTCATCCGTCCCACAGGCCTGTAGTTGAAATGATGCTTCCTGGCTGGATAAGTGAAGGAGGTACCCTCTGTTGAATCCCTCTTGTTGATGGTAATTGGTGCTGGTTGTTGCTGTTGGTCGGTTGGTTTACTTCATCACCTCTATTTTCTCTGAGTCCACCTGCAGTCCTGGATATATATATATATATATATATATATATATATATATAGTTTCATCCATTTCAGCTGTGTTCACGAATAATTTCTCCAATTTGCTAGTCAGATAAATATCTCTAGTATGCAATTAATGCTGACAGTTTAATCCTCTCTAGTAACACGAGACGTTCTGGGGAGATTCCTGACCGATGAATACTACGTTTCCAACAGTTATACTAAGAATAAAAGATAGGGTGAGAGATTAGCAACCCCACGCGTGAAACTAAACAATATCTCCTTTACTGAGTCTTCGAAAGCCCGAATCTCATTGTTCCACCCAATACACAAATAATTTGAAAAAGAAAATGCAAGCAGCGTATCCTGCCATTGTGTTGTAAGACAGTGAAGGCTTATATAGCTAGCTGATGGATAACTATACAAAACCCCTCTAAGTTCCTAGTGGAATACACGGCTCCAAGTGTTAAGCCTTGATGTTTCAGTAGGATTGTTAGCCGCACATCCAGCCCTCCCTCCCCTTTTTTTAGCAGCCAACTGTTGGCTAGCGGACTAGGTGACGTCTACAAAGGCGTCGGCTGGCTAAAAATCACTGACCTCAGGAGTGGCTAGAGAGAATTCTAATCCTGAATCATTGAAGCAGGAGTTGTCAAGATAGATTTATAGTTTTAGATCCAATATAAATGGCTCTCTGACAAGTTCCTACAAAGCAAAAAAAAAACAGACCACAACTACAGCATAAACCGATGACAATATTCAATTTCACAGAATTTCATCAGAAACATCATAATTATGCCGAGACAGGTCATCTTCTTAAACACTCGACTTTCAACCTCTCTCTATGTCTTGATATCTATCTGTTCAAATTCCTTCATCGAAGCGAATTGCAGAATACACACTGCTTAGTTGTTGGCCGGAAGTGATCATAGGGTATGGCAGTCAGCTCACATGGATGAATTAAAAAAAGGTAGATATCAAGACATCTAGAAGTATCATCAGAGGCGACGTACTTAGTATTATTATTATTATTATTCCCTTGAACTCCAGGTGGAATTTCAGGCTTCAGCATCACATCTCCATCTTGTCCTGTTTCCTTCAGTCTTATTTATTTGACCCTACGTTTGCCTATAGGCTGCCATCTACTTCTCACATGACCTCCTTCATATCGCCCTAGAACATCAAACTCATCGGTTGATTCTCATTCGGGTTCCATGCACGATGTCATTCGACAGTCTCCTCAGCGTGTATCTGACGCATATTCATTTTCTTCAAGACATTCATTGTGGAATAGGCACTTGATTAGTTCTTTCTCAAAATTTATTGTTGTTAATTCTTTCTGGCCAGCCATCTTATCTTCAGTATCGAGCGAATTAAGACAGCTGTTGATGTAAGTCTGCAGCCAGCTAGAAATACTTTTCGTGACGTTCATTACACAGGCTTCTCATCCATATAGAAGAAATGACTGACATAACATAAGTGTTGAAAATCTGATTGTTGTACAAAAGTTTTGATTATTTGAAGGCAGTGATGAATGGTAAGCATCGTCGAGGATACAACTCCAACTGAAGGATTCTAGTGTGGTAGTGTAACAACAGAAGACAAGAGCCAGGCAACAGATCGTTTTATTATGGAAATCAACACGTATTTATATATATTTAACATACATTATTATAGCTTATGCAAGTAGACAAGCGCAGTCATCTGATTGGTTGTTTATCATAAGTTAAGCAGACAAATGCAGGCTTCTGATTGGTTGTTTCGGGATTCCTTGATAAATAGAGTTCTCTATCTGCGAATCATATTTTGCCACGTTAAGTCTGCTGTGATTGGTTGTTGAATCAGCCTTGCTCATATTTTCTCACGACCTGCTCTCACCACAGTAGGAGTAAATTGTACTATTACTACATCTCACTGGAACTAGGTAGATTAGGGAATACTAGGCCGGTTCTTAACGAGGCGGGGTTAATTCCTTTTAAATTCAGTCTTTATCAACTTTCAGTCTTGTTATATATATGTCCAAACCAAGTTCACATTTAACAGTTTAAAAAAATTTGGCCATTGGGTATATGATATTCATTACAAAAAGGCTTCTTTTTGTATTTCCCAGTGAATGAAAAACAAAACGATATTGTTGTTTTTTTACTGACGTTTCACTATTCAATGCTGCTGCTAGTAGCTTTATCAAAGCAGTATTATTAAACCAGAATTTACAATATCTCAGCTTATTTATAAAAACTTAATCATCGCTCCTCAGCACGGGAAAATGATTTTTACGTTGTCAGGTTGGCCAGTCAGTAAAGATAACAAAACTAGGCGTAGATTTCCTATAGCTGGCTTGTAAGGATTGGATGTGTTTTTTGATGAGTTGCCCATGGATTGATTTCACTAATAGAACCATTAAAATCCAGTAGAGAGTACTGGACAGTTGGGAATCATCGGCAGTAAGCAACCACTGGGGTTCAGACCCAGGACCTGTTGTGACTAGTGAGTTTAATCTAGTCAAGTGTGTCGATGGATATCCCACCGATGAAATTGGTTGGTGGTCGCGATGAATCACGAATAATTAGAAGATAGAATTCATGGACTGGCTATCAAATAGGGTCCCAGTGTTTGAATGGCATGCGAACGAATTCGCCTAGTAACCACAGGAAGGTCCTGGCTTCGAATCCCGATGGTTGGATACTACCGATAATTCCTAAACTAGGAGAAAACAACTGTCCAGTACTCCTGGTTTTCCAGTAGTTCCCAAACTGATATCAATCCGTGATCAACACGTCAAAATAAGTGTAGACAGTTGGATTTGATAAGTGTATAAAATTATAAAAGCAGCCTACGTTCACATAATGAACTTGTCTTTCACACTCGTGTTAATTTCGTCTTTTCCTGATGGAGGGGGTGTTGTAATCAGGTGAAATTCTGTTAAAGTTCATCGTTCCTATTCAGACAATTTGGATACCTTTTGATGGTATTAGGTGTTTCTGATCTCTGTGTAATCTCTGAAATATTTGTGCATAATTTATACTACTTATTATTAGTAAGTAGCACGATGTAAACATACTTTTTTATCATTTTATCACTCCATTTAATTATAGTAATTGACTTCCCTTGCATGCAAATACATCAGTTAGACATCCATTGGAAAACCTGGACAGCTGTTTCGTCCTGGTTTAGCACTCTTCATCAGGTTTTTCAATGGTTCTCTAACTGATGTCAGCTCATGAGGAAATCCTCCAACCAATCAAACAACAACAAAATCTCTACAAAAAGCAATCCTTAAAAAAATTTCTCATTGACGCACGATAAAGATGCAGTTTACGGCATACAGACTAGGCCCCGCATAATTTAATGTTTGTTTATTCAATTTACCCATATTAATGTACAAATGGGAAGGTAGGTGACCTTAGTTGATGAATCACAATAAAAGACGAAACACAAGTTCCGAATTCCAATGTCAGATGCTATCAATCAAACTGGTATCATTTTTTAAGCTCTTAGAACAATGTTGCAGAAGATGCCTAACAAGAGAGACTCAACATTTCAGTCTGATGAAATCAATCCACGGGGAAATACACATCATGAGTAAGCTTCAACAAATATTTGGAAATTACTGTTTTATTTTATCCCCTTTGTTTCTCTTCAGATGCCTCAATATGCATATTAGCTATCGGATAAATACGACTCACAATGGATTCAATTATCAATGTATCTTGTTTGAACGAAACAATTATGATAATAACCAAGAAAAGGATTCATTTAACTGGACAAGCGAACCAATGAATTTACAAAATTTCCTGTTACATAAACACTCTCAAATCACATGTCTTATACGCGTTTGTAAAATACCCAAATATTGTACATATGTAAGTATTCAGCTGTGAGATTCTTTTTTCGTTAATATTTGAAACTTTTAACAATTAGAAAGTCTGGACAGTGTGTTTTAAACACACATACACACACACAGAGAATTAGATTAAAATTGGTGTTAATTTGTAGGAAATTTGATCTGTTTCAAATATGATCATGGATTGATGATGTTAAAGTTAGGGAATAATTGAAAACCACAGCAGAAAGAGTATTGAACAGGTGTTCTGTCCTAGATTCGGACTCTTCACCACTACACACCGTGGACTCTACTTCCAGGGATCGAATTCAGGACGTTTAAGAAGGGATTATTATCATTACTAAACCTTTAAGGCATATTAATATATGTGCAAAACTTGCGAACTGTGGTAGCATGTAATTCCGAATTAGACTGTTTATTAGATACACCACACACACAGTGGGTGAAACAGTTTTGTTATTTACTGGATGACACAGTTTTGAACAAAATTTATTGTGGCTCATAATCATATCATGAATTATAATCACACGACTCCAAAACTGGAGTTTTGTAGTTTTCTTTGTTTTCCCCTTATTTGTTGTCCTTGTGGTGGTAGAATTTTCCAGACCTCCAACTGGACAGCTGTTGAATCATTCCTATTACACGTGTCTGCAGTTGATTAGATAAACAAAGCTTCCGTTATCAATTCCATTATGGATAAGATTTCATTTTGATAAATCATACACAGTGTTGTACAGTTATATTAAATGATATTAAATAATCATTTAATATAACTGTACAACACTGTGTATGATTTATCAAAATGAAATCTTATCCATAATGGAGTTATACTCTACCACAGTGAACAAGTTTTATACTTATTCCGTTATCAATCCTGATCCCTCCATCCTGCTGTTACATAAGATTTTACAACTGGTCATCTCACCTCATCCCATCATATTGTATGGTTGGTTGTGTGTAATTAATTGCATGTTGTCAATGCTATAGCTGAACTATTCTCTAGATTTCTCATCTTATCCGAGTCAACAAATCTAGATTTTACTAGGCTTTTGTGCTCGGCTAGTCTGACTGCCCCTGTTCTACTAGTTTGACCTATGTATTTTGACCTGATAATCATCGCAGGCAGGGTATCAGATAAACTGCATTGTTTCCTTTTAAATGTTTCACAAGATCTTTTAACCGACCAGACTTGTTTCTAATTTAGTTTGTGGGTAGTTTGAATGCCAGCCGCTTTTATTGCTGCTTGCCTTGTTAAGAATTCTGTGTAAGGTGGTTTCCGAGGTTCCTTTTTTGTATGGAATTACTACTGATGATTTATATTCCTTATTGCCAGTGTTGTCATTATCATGCACATGCTTGACATGCATGTTATCATTATTATTATTATTAAGGTAATGTAAACAAGAATACTGTTTATAAAAGTAAGAGATTCAGAATACCTATAAAGTACAATTTTTAAATGTGGTAGTTTGAAAGGAGGGAATAAGTCGGAACAACGAATAAGTATGAACTGACGCTCACTAGTGACTGGCCCTATTCAAGCAGATGATTACCTGGGTTCTAGTAGGAAGTCGTGATCCGTGGGAAACAGGAGGTCGGGTGTGAGAAGAAATACTCTCAAGCGATGATATTCGCCAGTGATCACACCATATCATGAAATAGCAGAAGTTGGCGATTTGATAGGCGGGTCCGATTGTCTTATTGGTCTACGAGCTGACCTTGTAATTGGGAGGCCTTGTGTGTGTTGAACCCTGATGGTGGGTGCGTACTGATGAGGAGTCCCAAAAACTAGGACGAAACAGCTAGCTGTCCACTTCTCCTAACTGGTCTTACAATGATCTTCTAACCAATGTTAGTTCATGATGACATGTTGATAAACCAAATTATTGTACAAGTGAAATAAAAGGATTTTAAGGCTATCGTATTCAAGGAATTACACGAGCCACTTCTGTATTCACAGCTTAGGTTTTTTGCTGTGGACAGAGGAGGTACTAAGAAGTTCTGTCTGAGAGGTTTCGTGTGCATTTCGGATTGTGAGGGCGATTGTTACTTCCCGGCTGCCCACACCGTGGAAGTTGGTTGCGTGACCGCAGAGCCCAGGGGACAACTGCTTGAGGCCGGTCACACGCGGCCTGTTTTTGTTTGTTCTTTTTGTTTGGTGTGTCTCAGTAGCATATTTATCACTCCTGCCCTGTGACACGGCAGCAGGAAGCGCGGTCGTTGTTAATCCGGGCCACGGCCGATCCGGCATGAAATTTTGTGAATTTGTTTGAATCATGGTATTGGATTGGGTAGCTGCTTTTTGTTTAACCGCTATCCAAACAACCTGCCTGGCATGGTAGAACCTCACATAAGTCTCAGCCAGTATAGCTTGATTAGGTCATTGCGGTGTTCAAGCCCGACCACCACGTCAAGGTAGCAGCTTTCGATCAAGAAGGCCTTTGAACGGTGTGGCTCTGTCTTACATATATACATATTCCACTTTATGGGATATCTCTATTGGGGTATAATGATGCGTAAGAACAAGGTACACCTAATTTTTCTTCTCGACAACCATATTGATTCTTGTTCACCTCCGTACAAATATACATCCTAGTGGTACAGCGTTTGTAGAACATTTTCTTAGGCATTTTTGTGCATATGAAATTAAGTGAAGGACTTTTTTCTGAACTTCTCTCGATAATCTTCTTCACATGTGTGTTGTGTCACATTCGAATTTTAGGTTTACAATTAACCTCTTCTTTTTGATACTTCTGTCTTTCATGGACTATGAGCCCTACTTTTCATATGTTTATTGTTGAATGCTAGAGGATGGCTAATCTATAAAAGCCAATTATTATTGTCTTCTTTAGTTCCTAGAGGAATCTAGAGCTTCAACCGCACATCTCCAATGCGTTCTGTTCTCCGCCACACGTTTTTACCTAACTCCATGTGTGCCTACATGCTTTCATCGCCACTTCACATGAAATCCTCAATGTCACCCTCGCACTGGTGACCAACTGGCTGCTTCTCAATCGGGTTCGATTCAAGTGATTGCCTGGCGGCGTGTGATGTCACTCACTTGATGGTTTGTTTTCTCAGAATATGGCCAATTTACCTCCACTTCTGCCTTCATATTTGTTGGACATTTAATCGATGAATACTTATTTAAATGCTCTACAGATTTTATTTATTTCACAATTACATAAGTAGTGATGCAGCGTGCGTTGGTGGCACAGCGGTTATGATTCTCGCCAACCATGCACATGGTCCGGGGTTCGGTCACCTACCGACGCACACCTGATATATCTAAGGTCGGCCTGCAAAATTTGGGCTACCGATATCACATGCTGAAAATTCCGTACTTGTACCAAAAATACATTGTGGAATCAAGCTGTAATAAAAAAAAAATGAAAATATCATCCATAGATGACTTTAATTAAAATATAAAAAAGTGGTTTTTAGAGTACCCGACTGCAGGCGTATCAACAAGTCGGCAGTAGAGGAAGTGAAGACAAGACTTTGAGTAAACATAGAGGGGAAAGATGTGATGAATACACCTGCTACCAACAACAATAATAACAATAAGGGGGAGGGGAATCCAAAGAAACTTGTCTCTTCCACTTACCTGAACTAGGTGACACCGTTTCAGATACAGGCAGCAATTGGTGAGGATAACAAAGCCATTCAGGATTGGAATAACAAGACAGGCCTTTATTACACTACATCAATAGAATTTAGGATTGATAGAAAAATTGATCCGGATCTTTAACCCTAATTAAATTCAGTGTTGATATGAAGTTTAGAGACTTGGCGCGTCTGACGTAAATCAATTTACAACAAGCGCCTGCAAACTTTCATCAACAGTTCAGTTCTGTTGATACGGAAAATCAGATGGCTAGAAAAGAAAATTAACAAGGGAACTCTGACAAACGATGAACTAACCAGCAAATATTCAAAAGGTTATGTAGATAGATTGAATATTTCACTAAGCATCTCAATGAAAATAATCAGTGAACACATTTAAATCAGGGTGTGAGATCTTGGTGTATATCACTGACTCCAATCATGGAGCATAGGATTAGAGAGATGACTTAAGTTGATCAATGGTCATAGACTAAAAAGTTTTCAGGTTGCCCATAGTTAGCGATTATCTCACATAAATCTACTTAAGACAACAATTCAGATCGAAAAAGATGTTTGTGATGAACTAACATCAGCTATAGAGATCATTAAGAACCAACCAGGAGCAGTGAACAGCTGTTTCGTCCTATCCTTTTGGAATGCTTCATCAGAAAACACATTCGCGACCCCAACAGGCATCGTGGTGCAGGACGCCTAAGATTACGAGACTAAGCTTGTTAAGCATTCAGCTGATTGGGCAGGAATCTAATAATCTGTAAACTCTAAATTTCTTAATTCATGACATCACGTTTACCATCCAACGGATCCCACTGGTCACAACTTCTTAGCACATATTCAAGACATCCATCCAGCAACCATCAATGGGCTGGAGATCTATATTTATATAGGTGTAAAACTTTACCACTGAGGGAGTATGCAACTCCATATTAGTTCGTTTATAAGATTATATTTGAAACACACTGTGAAACAGTAATATTCAATAAATGACAAAGTTTCGAAAAAAAATTTATTATGGCTAATAATGATATCAGTTATAATCACACGACTTTGAAAATTCAGTTTTATAGTTTTCTTTGTTCTCTCCTATTTGTCGTTGTCATTGGGGTAGTAGAATTTTCCAGATATCTTGGTGGACAGGTGTTGAATCATTCCTATTACAGATACGTACTTGCAGTTGATTCGACAAAACAAAGCTTCTGTTATCAATCTCTCCCTCCACTCTGTGACATTAGATTTCAGAACTGTCATCCTATCGCACCCTATTGTATGGTTGGTAGTGTGTAATTGCATGTAGTGAGTGCTATATACTTGAACTATCCTATTCTCCAGATTTCTTATCTTAGCGTCGGGTCAACTAATCTAGATTTTGCTGCTTGGTTTTTACGCTCAGCTAGTTTGACTGCCCCTGTCCTACTACTTTGACCCATCTATGTATTTGACCTGACAATCATTACAGCAGAGTATTAGATAAACTAAATCGTCTTGTTTAATTAGCTTCACAGGATTGATCCTTTAAACGACAAAGCTTGTTTCTAATTGAGTTTGTGAGTGGTTTGAATCCTGGCCACTTTTATTCCAGCCTGCACTGTTAAGAATTCTCGCCGTAAGGTGGTTTCCGAGGTTCCTTCTTTGTATGGAATTACTACTGATGATTTAGATTCCTTATTGTTGGTGTTGTAATTATCCTGTGCATGTTTGACATGCATGTCGTCATTAATATTACTATTATTATTACCACTATCACAACTATCATTATTTATTATATTTTCACATTTCCTTACACACTTTCTGACTAACTGGTGAAATGTTTAAGTGATAGAGCACAAAAACTAAGGTGTACCAACGACAGGACGTGAGGCATATAAGAGAAGCTTTGAAAGTTAATTAATGATTACCCTGATAAATTAATCAAGAAATATGTAGGGTAATGTAAAAATAAAATAAATAATGATAGTTGTGATAGTGGTAATAATAATAATAGCAATATTAATGACGACATGCATGTCAAACATGCACAGAATGATGACAACACCAACAATAAGGAATTTAAATCATCAATAGTATTTTCATACAAGGAAGGAACCTTGAAAACTGCCTTACACAGAATTTCTTACAAGGCAAGAATAAAACTGGCATTCAAACCACTCACAAACTCAATTAGAAACAAACTTTGTCGGTCAAAGGATCGTGCCAGTGGAGCCAATTAAACAAAACAATTTAGTTTATCTAATACCCCGCCTATCTAACCTGCCCAGAAACGTCAGAGTAGTAGAACAGGGGCGGTCAGAAAAGCCAAGCATAGAAACCTAGTAAAATCTAGACTAGTTGACCCGAGCAAGATAAGAAATCTAGAGAATAGTTCAGCTATATCACTCATTACATGCACTTACACACAAATATACAATAGGGTACGATAGGATGACAGTTCTAAAATCTAATGTCACAGCTAGGTGGAGGGAGAGATTGATAACAGAAGCTTCGTTTTGTCGAATCAACTGCAAGTACGTATCTGTAATAGGAATGATTCAACACCTATCCACTCAGATGTCTGGAAAATTTTACTACCTCAAAGACGACGACAAATAGGAGAGAACAAAGAAAACTATAAAACTCAAGTTTCAATGTCGTGTGTGATTGTAACTGATGACATGATTGTGAACAATAATGAATTGTGTTTGAAACTGTGTCATCCAGAAAAAAAAAATAATACTGTCTCACTGTATGATACATCTAATCAACAAATTAATATAGATTTATATTTAGACTATAGGTTATCGTGTCGATTTGGATTAATTTACTATTATTAGTAGTGGTAAAATATTCTCTAATGAATAAGTTTCATTTTCGCTCCATTTTCTAAAGGCTAATCTCTATTCATCGCAAGAAACACTAGCTGAACAGAATGATTTAAATATCCCTTCCAATCTGTATATACCCTTGATATTATGGAACAGTAACAATATCGATAGAATACAAGATCAATACGGTGTACTCTTCCCACCAGGAAATTTAGCTGATTTTATACAATTCTATTTTATACAAACTAAACTGGAAACAAATTATACTACTGATAAAAGTAGTGATGTAAAGTCACATGTAAAGTATGCTGGTAAGTGAACATATTTCATTTCATTTCTGACACTTATGGTAATAAGCCAATTAGTCATTTGGCATTTAGTCATAGGGAACAGATACTTAAGGGTTGATGAAATTGACCAGTTGACAAGTCTGTAATAGGTGGACAGGAGTTAGAACGCCAGATTCATCTACTGAAAGTTAATAGATTAAGTCAGCGAACCATATGTGTGCGTTGTGGCACAGGGGTAGAATGCTCTCCAGCCATGCAGGTGGTCCGAGGCTCGAACCCCCGGCCCATAAACTCCTTTAAATTGCTAAGCCAGTAATAAAACTGGCAAAGAGGGAAAGTTGGGCATGAGGCTGTCTAGCAGCCCCATCCCGTAAAAATAAATTCCACTGCTACTAAAACTTCAAGTCTGTAACTTGAAGTCTTATGTTCCACTGAAGGCAACGTAAAGGAATAAAACAAAATATAACCATATGTTACATCTCATGGATGTAAGTAGTGCTGATATCTTTTCGGAAATTGAACTATGATACTTAACTGTTATTGATCAATAAAAATTAGGGATAATATTGTTGTATCTTCGTATTTTCAGCCAATCAAACCTATATCTCATGTTCACAGACTTTGAAAAGGCTTTCATCAGATAGCGTTGAACGAGAAGTAATTTGGAAATCAATTCAGCATGATAAAGTAGAGGGGCCCAAGTCTTTTATCGCCTTCATTCAGCAGCTACATGGCGGTGTCATATGTCGTGATCCATAACAGAAAACTCAACGCTACATTTAAAGTGAATATACAAGTCAAATGAGACTACCTACTATTACTATTCCTAATTGTAGTGGACTGGATTATGCAGAAGACTACGCGTGGAGGGTGAGAAGACAGGAACTTACTTACTTTACTTTACTTCGGCTATCTCCTACGGGAGGATGAGCCGGCTTCATGAACGTCTCGAATCATCGCTGCCCAGGCGCGGCAATTTGTAAGAGAGTTCATGAAGTTTCATGGGAATTTGGTACGAGTGATGTCCACAGCATCGCTCGGTCTTTTGTTTGAGAGTGCAGCTCTAGCCTTTACACAGCCAAATGTGACCTACAAGGCAGTAGAGTGGAGTAAGGAGTCCACTATCCATTGGCAGCCGGTGCCGGAGTTCGGTTCATACGCCTTTTTGAATGGGGCCAGACATCCAGGACATCCAACAAGCCCTTTGTCCATACGTCTGACGGTGAGCTCCAGTGAGCTTCATACGCCAGTCGTTGGAGGTTTGGAATCAGGGTTTAGCCATCTCCCCTAGACTGTCATCCAATGGACAGTCAACCCGGTGGAGAGCGCCGGGCATCCGCTTTCGCCCTCTCACTTTGGTGAGAAACACCTCCGCCACGTGAAGGCAGTGAGTAGGACTTCCTCAGGAGAGGCTATGTAAGACGCCCGGTCATATGGGAGCATTTCAAGAGTGTGCGGAGGGGTGGCCAACCCGCAGCGCAAGGCACCCACCCCGACCATCCTGAGGCTTTGGAGGCAGGAACACTCTGCAGTAACCTATAAGAAGACTCTAGGAGATCCGGATTTTACGGATGATCTACGTCTAATGTCACACAAACTCGAAGAACTATGAGCGAAAACTAACAAACTCTGGTGGAGGAAACTGCAAAGACTGGACTTCAAATGAACAATAGAGAAGACGGAAGTGAGGGAGGTTAACCAACCAACCAACAACCACCAGGCCCAATCGCCATCACCTGGAGAGATTTGACAGAGAGGTTACTTTACCCGCTTCAACAGAAGGAAGCCGGGAATCCATAAAGATGTTAGAACCACTCAGAATCGAAAAGGCAAGGGGTACACCTGCAATCAGTTTGGAAATCTTCTGTACTCGACGTCATAATGAACAAAGTCTGGATTTTCAGTGTCGGTGATAAGTTCTATATGAGACAGAAACTTGCACTGAGACTACTGAAGATTCTCTGGATCCATAGTGAAGATCAGACGGTTGGTTAGATGGAATTAGCAACAAAAACCCCGGGGGGACGAACTATCCAAGAACTTATTATTCAACAAATATTCCGAAGAAAATAGAAATGAATCGGATACAAGCTGAGGAGATCATAGGCTGACATTGCGATCCAAATAATAGTCTCCGGAGTAGAACCCGAATGGGAAACGATAAGCCAGGTGTCTGAGGGTGACATGTACAAAATCGTGCGAGGATGACGTGAAACCTTATGGGCGATCGTAGGCCCAGCTATAGAGGGCTGCAGGGAACAGAACTAAATAGAGATGTGCTGTTGAAGCTCTATGCTCCACTCCGAACCCAAGGGAACAGTAATAATCATGATTGTCTTTCAAAGTGATGGTTGTGGAATGTATATTTTCGGTCATAGGAAAAAATCAAGTAGACAGCTGCAGTGAAGAAAACTGTTTTCAATTTCCACGAAGTCATTAGCTAGGCTATACATCCGTAAATATGTTTAGCGAAGAGGTGAAAATGTTCCAGAGTAATTTCTGGCCGAATGTCAAATTACAACGAATAACAAGATTGAAAATAAGGACTAAAAAGGTAATAAAAAGAAAAATTAACCGAAAAATCGGATAGAAAACATAATCAGATGAAAACCGCAATTCAAGAAAGTTGGCTGTTTACGATGGTCATTGCTAGAGCTAGAGGCTCGGCTTAATTCTTTTGCATACATACCCTCGGCTTGATTTTTCGGCTTCAGCTATGCCCAGATGTCTTGATCTCACTTTCCTTCAGAGTTTGGATCAGATCTTGCATAAGACTTTTGAGGAATTTGTCAAAGGGAGTTGGTTTCCCTCATATCATAAAATGTTCCACTGCAATGACAGAAGACAAGGGCCAGGCAACAGATCGTTTATTGAGGAAATCAGATATTTATAGTTTTTTATGTACACTCTTATTCGTTATTATTAACAAAGAAATAGCGTCTTCTGATTGGTTGTTTTCTCGCTGAAAGTTAATCTGTCATCTCTACGTGACCGTTTGTTTGAAGGTCAGACCATATATCTGCGAATCGTATCTGCCCACGCAAAATGTCTGCTTTTGTGATTGGTTGTTGAGTGAGTCTTTGTTCTTTTTATTTTCTCATGACCAAGATTTGGTGAACGTAAACATTGACGTAAATTGCTGTCTACCACTTTTGACCAGCAAACAGCTCTCACCACACTATTACCCAACTATAAACAGAGACTTTTTGTAACTCAGGTGAATATATATATATGTCCTTTCATACCAATGCAAGTAGATTATTACGAACATCAATTTGATCGGGATAATGTTGAAATTTTAAACAGAGAAAACACCAAAAGTGCCAGAGAATTGCTAAAAGCCTGGTACTCAAGCGAATATGCGATTAACAAATATATTAATGTAGACCAAATTTACCAAATAATAAAAAGAAAATCATCAAATGACAAAATAGTTCAAAATCCAAGTAGATTAAAATTGATTATTATGATTATTTCCTTTAATTCCTAGAGGAACATAGGGCTTCAACCGAACGTCTCCACTGAGTTCGATTCTCCGCCAACGTTTTCACCTGGCTTCACGTCTGCCCACATGCTTTCATCTCCTCTTCACATGACCTCCTCCAAATCACCCTTGCACTGACGACCAACTCGCCGTTTCCCTTTCGGGTTCCACTCGAGCGATGGCTTGTCTAGTGATGTCACTTGATGGCTTGTTTTCTCAGTGTATGGCCAGTCCACCTCCATTTCTTCCTGCCTATTTGTTTCACAATCGGTTCCTGCTGGGTTGGTTCTGGCTTTGATATCTTCATCAGTTCCGTCCGCCTGTAGTTGAAACGATGCTTACCATGTAGGTAGGTGAAAGAGGTTGTTTCTTTCAGGTGCCTCCCATTTATGCCGGCTGTTTGTTGTCTGTTGTTGGTGGTGTTGGCCAGGAATCTTCATCACCACAACTGTTTTCTCTACGTTCACCAGAAGTCCTATCTTTGATGCTTCTTCTACCAGCTTGTTGCTTTTCACTTGCATATCTTCCAGTTTGTGGGAAATCAGACATATATCATCGGCGAAGTCCAGATCCTCCAAGTCTTTTGTGTCAGTCCATTTTATGCCTGCTTCCTCATTGTCTGCATTATCCAATCTACTGCAATCAGGAAAATCATTGGCGATAGTAGATAGCCTTGCCTCACTCAAGTCTCACTTCGAAGGATTCCGTAATTTTCCCGTTGTGGATTACTTGGCACACAGCATTGTCGTACAACTGTTGGATGAGATGTATAATTGTCGGTGGAACATTACGCATGTAAATTGACTACCACTCACGAAGACGGTTGCAAGGAGACACAATTCTATCATTCATGAAGAATTAAAATCAGTTCATTTTATGCCAAAACTTGCGCTGAAGATATTGTCCAGAAGAGGGGACGACGAATGCTCCGCAATTAAACCAGTCAGCTCAGAGAACACAACTAAATGCAGACATGCGTTCTCCGCTTGTGGTCGTATCATTTATCTCCTTGGGAACGCTATCTAGCCTGGCTAACAAAAGAAGAACTTAAGCCCATTTATAGCTCTCTTCAAGCGTCTTTTTGTTGACTTTTTTTTTGTATGACCTAATGTGGTTATTCAACGCCTTAATTCATACATGTTCCTTTCTGTTTTATTTTCTTGTTTTGGTTAACCTTAGATATGAACCATTCAGAAGTATTTAATTGGATGAAATATATTTTGGGAATTTTAATTTTCATATTTATTTGTCAAACAAGTATGATAATGGTGACAAGTATAAAAAAGATCTACATAAGGTATAAATTAAAAGACGCCTTCAGTCCTTTGGCTGCTGTCAACACAAGTAAGCATTAACTATTCTAAATTATTTAGAAATGAGTAAAGTATGTGTGTTTTGATGTTATTGACTGGATAGTAGTCAGTAAGTAGTGTAATGTGTGCCAGGCAGGCTTTAGACCAGGAAGAGGGTGTATTGATCATATCTTCACCCTCCGACAGATTCTAGAACACAGGCATTCCTACCAGCGTCCAACAGTCCTTATATTTCTTGACCTAAAGGCAGCATTCGACTCTGTCGATCGAGAAGTTCTCTGGAGATGCTTGGCTGTAAAGGGAATTCCGAGAAAATATATTGCACTGATTAAGGCACTCTACTCGTACTCATACAGCCAGGTGAGGGCTTACGGCGAGCTGTCATCTGAACTGATGACGACAAGTGGTGTTCGTCAAGGATGCACATTATCTCCTTTTCTATTCAACTTCATCATAGATGTGTTAATGGACTTAACCCTAAGTGATTTCAGCGACTCAGGGATTGACTTGCTACCGGGAAATAATCTCGTTGACTTGGAATATGCAGACGATATTGTCCTTCTAGGCGAAGACGCTGACGAAATGCAGAGTCTTCTGAACACCTTGAGCTATAACCTACGAATGTTTGGAATGCGATTCGCTCCCGCCAAATGCAAGATGATGTTACAGGACTGGACTACATCGACGCCTAGTTTAAAAATAGGAAGTGAAGTGGTAGAGCACGTTGACCGCTTCACTTGTTTGGGAAGTACCATCAGCCCCAACGGGTTGATCTCTGACGAAATCTCAGCACGAATACAAGGGGCTCGTTTCGCATTTGTTAGTTTACGCCGACTCTGGCGTAGACGAGATGTTCGACTATCGACCAAAGGGCGGGTGTACTGCTCATCAGTCCGCTCCGTCCTCCTTTATGGTTGTGAGACCTGGCCACAGAGAGTGGAAGACATGAACAGCCTGGCTGTCTTTGATCATAGGTGCCTGCGTTCTATCTCCCGTGTAAAGTGGCATAATAAGGTGAGCAACATTGAGGTTAGGCGTCGAGTTCTAGGTAAACAGGGGAAATCAATCGACGAGGTTGTGAACTTACAAAGACTGAGATGGTTAGGACATGTGTTACGTATGCCAAGCCATCTCCTCCCTCGACGAGCAATGTTAGCGGATATAGGGTCAGGCTGGAAAAGAGCTAGTGGCGGTCAAACCAAAACATGGCACCAGTCAGTCAAATCTACAACCATTAGTTTAAGCCAGGTAGGAAGGTGTAGACTTCCTGACTGGGGTCCTCGGGACGGTAAAAATCTATGGTTAGAAACAATTGGTGACATGGCTCAAAATCGTTCTCAATGGCGCAGATGCATCCACTCCTTGTGACTTATGATCTCCAATGAAACTGTTTTGTTTTTCTTTATTACTCCTTTGTCTCACATCTCTGCTCACTGTTTCTATTATGCTTTTCTTGTACTTTCTTCTCTTGCTTCGCGTGCTACACGGATTGTGGCGACTTGAACTTCCGCACATTTGTGGAAAGTTCTATGTCGAAAACAGACAGACAGAGTTGTCATCATCGCGCGTGTTTGACACGCATGTCGTCATTAATATTATTATTATTATTACTCTCACTACTATTATTATTAATAATCTTATTTTTACATTTCCCTACATACTTCCTAATTAATTTATCAAGGTAATCATCAATTAAGTTTCAAGGCTTCTTTTATATATCTCACTTACTGTCTTATATTTTCCTTGGTACTACTTAGTTTTTGTGCTCTGCTCTTACCTAAACACTTCACGAATCCTATTTCATTGACATAGGATGGGATGATCGGAAGTCCAAGTATCTGTTTGAATGTGCCAAAGGATTCTTAGAAGACTGGTAGTCAAGCGAATCAGCGATCAACAAACACATAATTATAAACCAAATTTACCTACTAATAAAAAGTAAATCATCAAATGACCAGAAGTTTGAAACAATTTGGGCATTGGGTATATGGTATTCATTATAATAAAGGTTTTTGTATTTCCAAATGAATAAAAAACAAAACAATATTGTTTTTACTGACCCAAGTTTCGCGTCACCCATGCCGCTTCCAGTCAGAGACGTTACCACTGAGCTATTCAGGATGGCTTGCGATTGATCTCCTGTAGGACTATACTGGATACTCTGACTGGACACTAGTCAGTGTAACTAGTGTAATGTGTCTATTTCTTCTTTTGGTGCAGACTGAATTCTATCAGTCCGCTTTGTAATGTAGCCATCAGTCTAGCCAACTAGAACAAAATCTAGTTCCAAGGCTTCCTGTAGCAAATTGCCTTCAACTATCTAACATCATTTAAATCAATGTGTGCCCCGTGATGGCGAGCTACCTAGTGTTGCACAGTGGCCACATATTACAAACCTGACTGACTGATAGAATTCAGTCTGCACCAAACAAAGAGGACTAGACACATCACACTAGTTACTAGTGTCTAATGAAAAGAAGCCTATTAAGTTGTCAGTCTTGGTGATATCACCACCTTTAAATGGTACCTTAAAAAAGATAGCTGCCTTTGCCACCGAAACTATCATCTTTTCAAGAGTCAATCACTCTTTAGTGTGAAATCGATTAATAATAATAATAATTTGCTTTATTCCAAAACAGTACTTGTGATACAGAATGGAATTCTCAGCATTTCACTACATTATTGCATTCAGTTAGTACATTAAAAATAAAATAAATTTCTACATAGATTAAGGAAATCTCAGTTCATTATGACAACAACATATTGGCATGTCGGTAGCAAGGCCAAAATTGAACAGAGTGTTTAAAGGTGTTAGAAAAGTAGATACTAGCATATTTACTGGCGTAAACAGAAGAAAGAAACAAAGCTGCACATAACAAAAAAAAAAAGAGAAAAAAAAAGGAAAAGAAAGAAAGAAAACGTACCTATAAATGATATGAATTGGAAAGACGAGATCCAGTTGTTCTAAAACTGACTATTTAACAAGTTATAGGTATCACGCCTAATACTTTTTTATCTCACAGAACACGAGCTAAGTAGGGTATGGTTGAGTTTTTGTACTTGCTGGTGCGAGCATATAGTTTTCTATATAGGCTTCTGGTTTTCCCTGATGAGATACAAGGCGAAAGTTGTGAATGAAGAGGGTGAGTGGAGTTAGATAGATAGAATGGATTTAGCCCATTTTTCACATGAGTCCATGTGCCGGTCAACTAGAATATTCACAAGCTGGTTAAGTGGCACGTGGCTTACCCTCCTGACAATCTTTAACATTCTGCGTAATAAGGTATAGTCTTTCTTCAGTAGCCAGGGAAAAACTAAGGGGGAACAATAGAGAATAATAGGCGGAATGCGAGAGTTAACGAATTGTAGGAGTAAGGGTTGGGTTATACCAGAATATCTTGACTTCTTGATGTAGAAGGTAAGACGGAATACTTTCTTAGAAATCATCGAGAAATGCGACGACCAGGAAAGATCAGCAGATAGAATGACGCCTAGGTATTTAATTTCCGACTCTGCTTGAAGTATTCACTTTTTAAAAATAATTAATGTATATATAAGTCAGTATTTTAGGGATAATAATAGTAATAACAATTAGATTATTTTTTTCATTACATTTCATTTCTTTAGGAAAATTTGAAAACCCAATGATGATTAGACGTATTCACTCAAATGACAATAATCACACACATGAAATTGAGCGAATCCATAGTGCAATCAATCAAGGTAACAGTGGATGCAAGCTAAACGTTGAGCTGAATGCCAATCATCGCTTTGATCCTCTTCATAATGACACTATGGATATTATTATTAAACCTAAACAAACTAGACATTCAACAACTTGTCTAGTGATCTCTCCTTCATATTCACAGCATGATTGTCGTCAGTTAATCAGTGGATTTAATACACATCATCATCACCATCATCATCGTAGACTTGCATGTGCTTCATGTCATAGCAACCATGAAAACCATCGTTTTCCTCATCAGCCTAATGATGTTCATGAATCCACAAAGTATCCGACTCAATATACAACAACTTCTTTACATTTGAAACACCAGAATGACAACAATACAATAACAAAAAGTGTTTGTGAATCCACTTTGGATACATCATACAATCAAATTCAAATGTCGACAGAATATTTAAAACAAAATAAACAGAATTATCTGTTAGACAACAATTATGTTGAAAATTATTCAAGTCAAACTATACCCCACCCGATAAATTATAAACATGACCCGTTAAAACAACGACAACATGTTAAATGTCCAATATATTATAGTTTAAGAAATCAAAATTATAAAGATGGTTGGGTTTAAAAGTGTTCGTCTTTTCTTTTTGTTTTCATTCCTTGGCATTTTGAAAGGAGCATAAGACATTAAACTATGAAGATGTTGTTTTTAGGGAGTGGGGTCCCTATCCTCGCGCTCAACCTTCCCTACCTTTACGAACTTTATACCAGCTGGGAAATTCAGCGACATGAGGAATAAAACTTGAACTTCCCCACTGGCTGGTGACCATTCTACCATAGAACTAGTGGTAAACACACATTACTTTGTTTTGAAATACAGTATTCAGCAGCAGAGTGACACCTCTCAACAAATTCATTATCAAGCAGTACAATAGTATATATATATACATAAACACGCTCTTTTTGTACACTAAAGTATGGCTTCAGTAAATGAATGACTAACGACAACGCTATCTTTAAAAATTTCGAATGAAGAAAACATGGTGGGTTAACATGAATTGGATAGGTGATCTTAAAATCATGGTCTGGGTTGATTGAGTGATCGACGTGGATTATGTATCATAGTATACAGCTTCTCACATCCTTCCATGCTGGAATTTTCTCTCGTATCCGTTAGGAATGCATTCTCTCACTACTGCCGGTGTCTGTCTGTCTGTCTGTTTTCGACATAGAACTTTGCACAAATGTGCACCAGTTCAAGTCGCCACACTCCGTGTAGCACGCGAAGCAAGAGAAGAAAGTACAAGAAAAGCATAATAGAGACAGTGAGCAGAGGTGTGAGACAAAGGAGTAATAACGAAGAACAAAACAATTTCATTGGAAATCATAAGTCACAAGGAGTGGATGCATCTGCGCCACTGAGAACGATTTTGATCCATATCACCAATTGTTTCCAACCATTGACGTTTACCGTCGCGAGGACCCCAAACGGAAGTCTACACCTTCCTACATGGCTTAAACTAATGGTTGTAGATTTGACTGACTGGTGCCAAGTTTTTGTTTGACCGCCGCTAGCTTTATTCCAGCCTGACCCTATATCCGCTAACATTGCTCGTCGAGGAAGGCGATGACTAGGATACGTAACACATTTCCTAACCATCTCAGTCTTTGTAACTTCACGACTTCGTCGATTGATTTCCCTGTTTACCTAGAACTCTACGCCTAACCTCAATGTTGCTCACCTTATTATGCCACTTTACACGGGAATTAGAGTGCAGGCACCTATGATCAAAGACAGCCACTCAGCTGTTCATGTCTTCCACTCTCAATGGCCAGGTCTCACACCCAGCCATGAAGGAGGACGGAGCGGACTGATGAGCAGTACACCCGCCCTTTGGTCGATAGTCGAACATCTCGTCTACGCCAGAGTCGGCGTAAACTGGCAAATGCGAAACCAGCCCCATTATTCGTGCTGAGATTTCGTCAGAGATCAACCGTTGTGGCTGATGGTACTTCCCAAATAAGTGAAGAGGTCAACGTGCTCTACCACTTCACTTCTTTTAAACTAGGCGTCGATGTAGTCCAGTCCTGTAACATCATCTTGCATTTGGCGGGAGCGAATCGCATTCCAAACATTCGTTTGCGGCTCAAGGTGTTCAGAAGACTCTGCGTTTCTTCAGCGTCTTCGCTAGAGGACTATATCGTCTGCATATTCAAGTCAACGAGATTATTCCGGTAGCAAGTCAATCCTGAGTCGCTAAGTCACTTAGGGTTAAGTCCATTAACATTGCTCTATAAGAGCAGGTGAACTCACAAATGCACATGGAGTCAGCCAAATGAGGGAGCTTACCTTCTATGCAAAAATGTTGGCCAACTAAGGGCTGGTTTAGAAAGACAAATTTTCGCGGACAAAACACTTCTAAATTCTAGATTCATGAAGATAGCTGTCTTTAGAATTAAGTTAGTGATCAGTTTGGATTGTTTATCTTTCATGTTCTATTCAGAAATCGGTTTAGGCAATCATTATCAGCAAGCGTGAATTTTAGGAAAGAAAGTTTTGCATCAGCATAGTCAGAGTTAGGAATATTTTTTTCTCTTTACTGGAGGTCGATTTCTTCTCTAGTAGTAACTATTTTAGAAATCTCACACTGTAAAAAAATTGCTTGCTGGTGTTATCACGTAACGCTACATGAGATTAAATATTATGATTCTAAGTCGTTACAGTATCACAATCCGTTATGAAACTTCAAACCAATAAATAGAAATAATAAAGAAGGCATGTTTACTTATATATATTTTTTATTTATTCAAGATGTTGTCCTATAAAGAATTTACATTGGAAAAAAGCAAGAATTTATGGTAAACCATAATACCACCATGATGGTGATTTCGATTTACTCCATATTGAATCTACACGTGAATCAATATCTAATTCTTTAGATCCACCATCTATACTACTATTTTCTGCCATTTCAGTAGTTTCTTTGTCTCCTTCTTCTTCTTCTTGTTCCTTTTTTTGCTTTTGTCTTACTAAATATTTCATCATTGCAATACGTGCTCTATACGCCATGAGGTAAGATCTTGGATGAACTGGTAGAAATCCGCAGAGGCCTAATAATTCTGCAACACGTTCACTTGGTTCAGCTCCCATGCCTATCCAATAGGCAATACGCTCGAAATTCAATGCAATCAACTGTTCCCCGTGTATATTCGGGAATGGATCCCATGAACCAACTTGTTCAATACCAAGCTTTTTGGATTCAGCAAGATTTGATTTAATCTACAAGATAGCATACAGAGGGGAAATAAAGCTTCATTTAATTTTTTTTTAAAAAGAACTAATAACAGCTGTTTCATCCCAGATTGGGACTTTTCAGAATAAAACCAATAATCTTATTTTATCAATTTCGAGCTCATTGATGGCTTCTGGATGGATGTCTTCTCTAAGAAGTCATGGTCATTGAGATCCACTACGTCAAGGTGTGGTCAATATTTATCACGAATTGGCAAAATCAGAATTCATGGATTATTGAATTACATGTCAGTTGGCATAACGATCAGCAGAGGTTGGACTTGTAACCTGAAGCTTATGGTAACGTCGGCGTGTACTTCTGAAAGGACCAACCCCCCCCCAATCAGTGATTCTCTACCTCACTGAGCCATGAAGAGAAGAGAATCCAGGGAGGAAAATTTTCTTAATCGACGAAATTATCTTCTTTCAGAGAGGCTGTACAGTCGTATTCATATTTGCCAAAAACACGTATAGTATGATTTGAAGGAGGATTTCATCATGAGCTGACATCAGTTAGAGAACCACTGGAAAACCAGCTGGGAGTACTGGACAGCTGTTTCGTCAGCTTATTTTGGGACTCTTCATCAGTGCGAACCCACTGCCAGGGTTCGAACCCAGGACCTTCTGGTTACAAGACGAGCTAGCTCGTAGACCATTGACCCACTGGGACCCGACCCTATAGCCAGCCCATGAATTCTAACTTCTGCCAATTCACGACATAGCGCGACCGTTTAGGAATGTCTTCTTCAATGAGTTACTGCATCATCTCCAACTTGCTCCGCCCTACTGGTCACGGCTTCCCACTAGAACTGATGTCAGCTGATGATGAAATCCTCCATCCAATCAAACAAAAATCCCTACAAAACCACTACTTGAAAACACGTATAGTAAGTAGTCTGTTATTGAGTAATACAACTGGGCTGACATACTTGATATAATTACTCAGAAGTGGCTTTAAAAGTAAATTTAAAAATTTAAATTTAAAATGAAAGTTGTAAATTACGTAATACCCGACAATGGCACTAAGGAAGAAAGGGTTAGAAATGATAGCTAAGGAGGTTAACAGCTGCCATCATGCCATCCACTTCACATAGGAATCAGAGATGAAGTTGGAATGCCATTTTTTGGATGTTTTTTTCTAAAAAGAAGGAGATCTGATGGTTTTCTTCAAAGATCGATCTACTGGAAACTAATATGAAGTGGTCAATACACAAATTTTCATAGTTGGGTCCCTTTGAGAAGAAGAAGAAAGGGAAACCTGATCCACTCCGAATCCTCAAGAATAAGAAGAATATGTTCCAGTGATACAATCTAATCGACGGGGAAGTGGAACGACTCAGACCAGTTCTAATAGAAAACGGATATCCTCGAAGATTCATCGAGAAAAACATGAAATTAAAGTAAAAACCCAAAAAGAACCCAGACGGTGCCGAAGAAAGGTGATAACACAGCTGAAGAACTGCCTATACAGGTCATTTGAAAAAAGATTTTTTTTTCCCGACTGAATTACGATCAATTGCCACCAGTTGACAAATGATCATTGGATATATGAAGGATAGACTGTTGCTTTGCACGGGCCACTTCACAATGTGTGTTTATAAATTCACCTGCTCTTGTGGAGTTAGTTATATTGGCCGCACACACAAAGTCCACGCTTTCCAAACGCTTCTCTGAACATTATACGGTATGGTTAAGAAAAGGGCAATTCAGGACAGTTACTAGCTCACTTCCCGAATACTTGGTGAACTCAAGCCACATAGATCTACAGCAGTCGTCTTTCAAAATCATCTACAAGGTGAGGCCAAATGGTACAAAGGGGCGTCAGGTTTCGGTTTTTGTGTATGGCGGAGGCGCTAGCAATTCGTCAATACAACCCTTAACTCTGTATACAAGAAAAGTTTGTCCAGTCTATTATCCTAAGATGATCTTAACTTCTTCACTAGTCGTTCCCTGTAAAAAAAAAAGATTATTTTTTACTTTTTTATTTTATTTTTAGTTTGTTTTTATTTTAATAACTAATTCACTATTATCACTCTCATATGCTACTTTTGTATATTTTCACACCGTCATCGCACTTGTTAAATGGACAATCAATTACCACCTTTCTACTCAGTTAATAGCAATTTTTAACCTTATGAAATTTCTAACACTTTCTTCCTTAGTGCCATTGTCGGGTATTACGTAATTTACAACTTTCATTTTAAATTTAAATTTTTAAATTTACTTTTAAAGCCACTTCTGAGTAATTATATCAATTATGTCAGCCCAGTTGTATTACTCAATAACAGACTACTTACTATACGTGTTTTCAAGTAGTGGTTTTGTAGGGATTTTTGTTTGATTGGATGGAGGATTTCATCATCAGCTGACATCAATTCTAGTGGGAAGCCGTGACCAGTAGGGCACAGCAGGTTGGAGATGATGCAGTAGCTCATTGAAGAAGACATTCCTAAACGGTCGCGCTATGTCGTGAATTGGCGGAAGTTAGAATTCACGGGCTGGCCATTGGGTAGGGTCCCAGTGGGTCAATTGTCTACAAGCTAGCTCGTCTTGTAACCAGAAGGTCCTGGGTTCGAACCCTGGCGGTGGGTTCGTACCGATGAAGAGTCCCAAAATAAGCTGACGAAACAGCTGTCCAGTACTCCCAGCTGGTTTTCCAGTGGTTCTCAAACTGATGTCAGCTCATGATGAAATCCTCCTTCAAATCATACTATACGTGTTTTTGGTAAGCATAAATACGACTGTACAGTCTCTCTGAAAGAAGATAATTTCGTCGATTAAGAAAATTTTCCTCGCTGCATTCTCTAACTGAAGTGTTGGTTTGTGACGAAATCTATACTGACATGAATCAACTAGTTTGAATTGCTTTCTGTATTAGAGTAATACAGTCAACTTAGTTTGTACAGCGGTGTTCGCCATCAACTGAAAAGCAGCGTGGAATAAAGATTGTACTATATACATATATGGTCACTATGTGGTGAGAGCTGGCTGTTAGTCAAAACTACTGGTGGACAGTAACTTACGTCAATGTTTATGTCCCAAATATTGGTCGTGAGAAAAATGAGAACAAAGCTTTGCGTGGGCGGATACATTTAACATATAGATGATCTGACATTCAAGAAACAGCCACAAAGAGACCCAAGGTTAACTTTCAGTGAGAAACAACCAATCAGACGACTGTGTTTTTCTGCTAACAATAATCTATAATATGTACATGAAAATCTATAAATATGTGTTGATTTCCATAATAAAGGATCTGTTGCCTGGCCTTTGTCTTCTGTTGTTACATTTGGTGTCGCTGCCTACCGACAAATGGAAATCCTATGCCCTGCAGTTTTCGACGGAGACATATGGATCTTCGAGCAGGACTTCGAGGCTTCTGCGCAGTTAAGTGGCGTTCAATATCTGTCAACGATGAGGCTTGTATTTGGGAAACTGCTGGGAGGTTGGGAGAGAGCAGTACCTGAAAGTGTAAGGCGAAATACTGACGAATGTGCAACAGGGTCTGGCAAACAGTTTCCAAAGTGGGAAGGATCACATATGGTTACGTTGAGATGATGGCGTTACGCAGACACAATCGCAATGGTAAACAAAGAGAAACAGGTGAACATCAGTAAGTGCCGAGATTCCAGACAGTAAAACAAACGAGCAAAGCTCCTAGAAACAAGAAGGCCGAATCAACTTCAGTTGCAAGTATTTTGACGGGGGGACGAGCCAAGCGATAGCTTGGCATATGCAACATATATTGTAGTCATCTTAATCGATCCTATGCAGCTTTATAAATCCTTCTCCACTAACTTGCATTTCCTTACTTAACACACTCCACACTGAACACCTCAATATTAGTATTACTAACCATATTATATCAACATTCAAAAAATAATCTCACTTGTATAGTAAAGAAAGGTCGATTGGTACATCCTTCTCTAACAAGTGCTATGCGTGGTTTATGCCGAAAACGTATAGGATAAAATTTCACTACACGACGTCCAGGTACTAATGGCTGGTGTGGCCACCATGTACTAGGCTTTTTAGGACCAGGTAAAAATCGTCTATTCTCTGAAGATGATGATGATGACGACGAAGTTTCAGTCGACTGATATACACAAGATTGTGCTCCATTGAATAATACACATGCAGGGGACAATGAGATCTGTACACATTTTGAATTCAAATTAGTGAGTAGGGAAATTCTGGAAGGCAAAACAAAATGCCATACAGGATAGATATTAACGATTTCTTTATTAAAATAAAATAGTCATAAACAATAGAGTTATCAATAACTTATAAAGTATAAAACATTAAACTACCATGTATTTAATTACTATTATTTTATTATTTAAATGCAGAAAAAACTTGTTAAAATATGGTACCAAGAAAGATGCGCCACACAATAATAATAAAACAACATAGATCAAAAGTAATAAAAAATATATAAGTAGAGATCGGATAAAGAACTTCATCTGGAAGGAAAACAGTCATACTTAACAAGTTCGAACAGTATTCGTTCATCAAGAAGGGAAGAAAGAAGGAAATTGCAACACGTCCGCCATTGATTTTTTTTTTTATAATACTCCTTTTAAATGCATGATGAAATTAGATGCAATATTGTAGATATGTGCTGAAAATTCCACACTGTACCACAAGTACTGTTTCTGGAATAAAGCGAAATTGTTATTATAAAAAAAAAAAAAAAAAAAATTCTTGGCCATATCCGATAACGTTTCAAGCCATAGATTCGAGCTATCTCTCGGACCCCAACCAGGGAGTCGTGACACACCGACCGATGCTAATCTAGCACAAACATCCTTCATCCCACGACGCCAAGTCATGGACTGATCACCTCTCCACCTTTTCCATCCCGTCCCATGGCTGGCTAGCGAACAGAGACCTGTACGGAAGCCTCTGGGATGACATTTGCAGCACATGTTCAAGCCACCGGAGTCGGTGTTTCCAGATGACAACACTCAATGAATGGTGATCTCCACTGTGACCAAACACACGCCGCCGAACCTCAGAATTATTCAGGCGATGATGCCATCGAACCCAGGCAATCCTGCGGAGACAGCGGTGATCGAACACGCAGAGTCGCCGAACATCCCCAGAGCAAGACAGCCCGCACAGAAGCATTGTATACCCGACCTTTGACAGCCAGGCTAACGTCGCGACGGCGCCAGAGGTGGCTCAAGTTGATGTTTGCCAACCTAGCCTTCATTATACGGTTGGAAATCTCATCCGTCAGCCCTCCGCCAGCACAACTACCCAGGTACACAAACTTATCAACAACTTCAAGCGGTTCACCTGCAACACTGAGTGCACCTGCAGGCTCCTGCCAATCTTGTAACAGTACTCTGCACTTAGACGGCACAAAGCACACACCATACTTACAGACACTGATCGCCAACTGATTAAGTGCGATTTGGGCAGCACAGTAAGACGATATTGTCTGCATACTCGACGTCGAAAAGTCTATCTCCAGGAAGCAGATCTACACCACCTTCATGCACATCCTTCAGGGCTGACTCCAGAATGTCATCGATGGCAAAATTAAAGAGAAATGGAGAGATTGGGCAACCCTGTCTAACCCCACTGTTGGTTGGGAACAGTGATGATAGTTGGTTGTATGCCTTCACTCTACCTGAGGTGTTTCTGTATAGGGCTTTCGAGATGTTAACAAATTTCTCAGGTACACCTCTCTCTACCAGACAAATACAGAGCACAGTTCTGTCTAACGAATCGAAGGCAGCCCTAATATCAAGAAACACAATGATCGTTGGCCTGCAATACGTGTGGAGGTGATCCAACAACTGACGAAAGGTGAACACATGATTAATGCATCTACGACCTGAACGAAACCCAGCCTATCCTTCGCGAATCAATCCCTCACGTATTTTGCACAGCCTGCGAAGCAAGGCAGCAGCTATGTGTCTATACGTCTTGGCCAGGTAAACCCTATTGACACTACTTTCAGGCAGTGAGGGGTGGGGTATTCCTCACAAAAAAAGTGAAAGGATAAATGCCATGAACGTCTGGCACTTACAACCCAAGTGGTGGATGGACATACAGGTCTACCAAAGGGGAATGGAAAACGCTGATTGTCAAGCCCATGGTGTACATCGTTTCCAAAATCTGAGAGGATCAAATGGCATATGAACCTGGTTTGGTCACTGGAAAGCATAGAGATGTAGCTTCTAACGCTGCTCCACGGTCATGTATGGATCACAATTCAAGCCAAAGGTTCGCGGGGTGGCCACTTGAGACAATCACCTGATTCAGTCTGGGCATCTGGTCAGAGCATCCCAGCCATCGTACAAACTAGGCGGTTTTGTGTGGCGCATTTTTTGGTGCCCATAATGTACCAAGTTTGTTTTAATAAATAAGGTAATGCAATAATAGTAACAATGAAGATGATAATATTAGTAAAAATAACAATATAATCTAAACGAGCTCAACTCAGTGCTACTCACCAAACACTCACAGAATCCCATGCAGCTGGCAATAAGTTACACCTATTGTGTGTGAGGGCTGGTTATACTGCCTGTGGTTGCCTAGACCTTGGTGAGTGGAATGTAGGCATCCCAGCAGGTGATTTATTTATTTTATTATTTATTTAAACGCATAAAAAACTTGGTACAATATGGCACCAAGAAGGATGAGCCACACTTAAGGTTGAAAGGACATAAGTTGCTTGAGGTATCGTTATTACTTGAAATCATTTTTTTCGAGCGCGCGGAGAGCTTCAATAATAGCTTGTTGTTTTACTTCACTTCTTGTGTAAGGGCTGAGATAATGTCCGGGCGCCCAGACCAAAGCAAGTGGTTTTCTTAAGGAACCCTCCCCCCGAGCCTTTGACTTGGAGTCTAATCCTCAAGGCAGTAGAGCAGCATCAGGAGCTGCATTCCCATGGTTTCCGGTGACCCATATGGGTTCATACGCCATTTGATCCGAATGGATTCTGGAGCCCATGTACCCCATGGTAACTGCTTTTAGTCTAAACGCTATCCAAACAACCTTCCTGACATGGTAGGACCTGCAGGGACATGAGTCCCCGCCAATTTAGCTTATTAGGTCACTGCGGTATTCAAGCCCGACCACCACGGCAAGGTAGCAGTTGTCGGCTGGGCCAAACCGGTGAACCCCCCCACCCCTACCCCTTAGTTAAAGTCGAACGCCTAGACCAATGAGTTGTAGCTCAGATTCCATTAGAGGGTATGTTCCACATGTGATGTCACTCAACTACCTTAAATGTTTATCTAATTCGTCTGCATTTCTTTCTGAATATACATTATTTTAATGGCATAGAGGTGTTTACAAAACAACTTGATAAATCCGATCGTAATAATAGTAAGACAGTATTTATAGGAACAACCCAAACAAGAACCTACTCCATATGAACGCGTTCTTGGAGATGGATCACACACACTCTGGGAGAAGATAGTTAGGTGATATCGCGCGTTAGGCCCTCGAGTGGAACCTGAATGGGGGGAGCTAAGGAGTTGGGCGTTGGTTGTGACCTAATTCACAATAAGTGATATCTATGCATGCATCACGTAAAATGCAAAAGAAAGGGTTTAAATTAAACAGAAGGTAGCAAAACACCATAAGATAATGATAATGTGAATTTCACGCCCAGTAATTCAAAATTCCCTATACACAGCTCACATCACTGGGCATGACTACCTGACTTCTAATCCCAAAAGTGGTAGGTCCGAATCCTGCCCCACTAATTTCAGCCAACATAGTATCATCTGTTCTGACAGAATAAGTGTGTCTGTCTGTTTTCGACATAGAACTTTGCACCGATGTGCGGCAGTTCAAGTCGCTACACTCCCTCCATGTAGCACACAAAGAAAGAGAAGAAAGTAGAAGAAATGCATAATAGAGACAGTAAACAGAGGTGTGAGACAAAGGAATAGTAATAACGAAGAACAAAACAGTTTCATTGGAAATCATAAGTCACAAGGAGTGGATGCATCTGCGCCACTGAGAACGATCACTTTGATCCATATCACCAATTGTTTCCAACCATTGACTTTTACCGTCGCGAGGACCCCAACCAGGAAGTCTACACCTTCCTACATAGCTGGCTTAAACTAATGGTTGTAGATTTGACTGACTAGTGCCATGTTTTGGTTTGACCACCACTAGCTCTTTTCCAGCCTGATCCTATGTCAGTTAGCTAGCACTTCCCGTCGAGGAAGGCGATAGCTAGGCTAGGAATACGTAACACATTTCCTAACCATCTCAGTCGGTGTAACTTCACAACCTTAGCGATTGGTTTCGCCACCCACCTACCTAGTACTCGATGTCTAACCTCAATATTGCTCACCTTATTATACCACTTCACACGGGAGATAGAGCACAGGCACCTATGATCAAAGACAGCTAATCTTTTCATGTCTTCCACTCTCAATGGCCAGGTCTCACAGCTGGCCATAAAGGAGGACGGAGCGAACTGATGAGCAGTACACCCGCCCTTTGGTCGATAGATAGGTATCACGTCTACGCCAGACGGCGTAAACTAGCACATGCGAAACTAGCCCTCTGTATCAGTGGTGAGATTTCGTCACAGATCAACCCGCTGGCGCTGGTTGGTGGTGCTTCCCAAATAAGTGAAACGGTCAACGTGCTCTACCACTTCATTCCATATTTCTAAACTAGGAGGCAGTGTAGTCCAGTCCAGTAACATCATCTTGCATTTGACGGGGGCGAATCGCATGCCAAACAGAATAAGTATAACTTATATGCCACTCACCCATTCATTCAGGCTGTGATCGGATAAGTAGGTGATCAGTTGAATTGTTCTGTTCATTTTTTTTTCAACTGCCTTCCTTATGAGTTAACTGCTAATCCATTCTTCTTTGTCATAATATCACTAAACCTTAGTTTCCCGACGTCAGTTCATTCTAAATGATGAACACAGGGACTCCGATTCTGCTTGAATTTATTTGATCTGGTGGATAGAGTAGTATCACAGATTCATAGCCTCATGCATATATATATACAGGATAATTGAAGGAGAGACACGTAATCTTTGGCTTTAACCTCACCCCTTTAATATAGAGTGATTTTGCTTGTCTCTTGTCCCTATAATTTGAGTTGAACTCAGTACATTGTTACCTAATTTATTAGTCATTATTATTATTCATTCATATGTCTAATCACATCAGTTTGTTACTCATGTATATAAAAAAGTCAGAAAGTAGTTGTGTGAGTAGTGCCTTGGTATGGTTATAAGCATCAAAAAAATCTTGCTCGAAATGTGGTCATCAATAAATATTGCTTACTGTATAACAAACACTGTCTGAGACTTTATCAAAATATAGTTTTCTCCATAATCGAATTATACTCGACCACAGTACTCAAATTCTCTTCTTATATCAATGCTAAAACGGGTGTTTCGCCCCATTTATGATTTATTATCAAGGCTTTCATGTTAGAACCACTGCGAACGATTCTGAACCATGTCACCAATAGTTTCAAGTCATTAGCTATTCGCTTCCTGAGGATCTATGACAGGCAGTTTACACCTACCTACTTACTACCTTTGTGTGATATATGGGGGGTGGCGGAGTATGGCAACTTAAACTGCTGACCCCCTGTGCAAAGTTCTATGCTGAAAACTCAATCAGTTAGTTAGTCAATCAGTCAGCTCTCAGACACCCAACATATATAGTGCGAATGACTTCACTATAGTATTAGTTGAACTGCTATCTAGCATGACAGATAGGACCTACAGTGCTAATCTGTTTAGCCAATGTGGCACATTGGATCATTGTGATATGCAAGTCCGATCACCACATCAAGGTAGTAGCTATCGATTGCGATCATTTCACCTTATTAAACCAAATATTTCAGAAATTTCAATTTTCAGTGAAGATGTTACCAGTAACATCTTTAATGAAAGCACTAAACAGTTACAAGTTGGATATCTAAATAATCATTAGTTTCGGTCATGCTATGAATACCTTTTTTCCCGACGGAGTCTAATGAATAAGACACTTAAATTCAAAAATTTAGTTAAATGCTAAGGTCAATGAGCCCAGTGACTAGATAACCAAACTTGATTTATTTCCTGTGCTTAGTCAGCACTAACAATAAAACATTAAATTTGATTGACATTTAGTGATCTTTTCTAAGACTTTAAGTTAATATAATGAGCTCCTTTTTGCATATATTATACAAGTTACAATAATAATAATACAATACTGAGGAACATACCTTTGCAAGGCACCATACATTACAAAAATAACTAAATATTGACTTGACTATGAATATAATGGAATGGACAAATGTTCTGTAAGGAAAAAAATTCATAAGCAAAAGATTATTAAAAATGAATATAGTAGAAATCTGTAGTTAGTTATAAAAAGCTTTCATTTGCATAAAGAATGGACGGTGAGTTGTCATCTAAAGTGGTGACGACTAGTGGTATCCCTCAGGGATGCCTATTATCCCCATTTCTATTCAATTTCATCATAGAGGTACTAAGGGAACTAACCCTAACTGACTTCAGAGACTCGGGGATTGACTTTTTACTAGGGAGTAATCTCGTTGACTTAGAATATGAAAATGATATAGTCCTTCTAGGTGAGGACGCAAACAAAATACAGTCTTCTGAACACCTTGGGCTGCAACCTACGAATGTCTGGTATGCGATCAGCTCCCGTCAAATGTAAGATGATCTTACGGGACTGGACTACACTACCTCCTAGTTTAGAAATATGGAATGAAGTGGTAGAGCACGTTGACCGCTTCACTTATTTGGGAAGCACCACCAACCAGTGCCAGCGGGTTGATGTGTGACGAAATCTCACCACTGATACAAACGACTAGTTTCGCATGTGCTAGTTTACGCCGTCTCTGGCTTCGTAGACGTGATACCCACCTATCGACCAAAGGGCGGGTGTGCTGCTAATCACTCCGCTCCGTCCTCCTTTATGGCCAGCTGTGAGACCTGGCCATTGAGAGTGGAAGACATGAAAAGATTAGCTGTCTTTGATCATAGGTGCCTGTGCTCTATCTCCCGTGTGAAGTGGTATAATAAGGTGAGCAATATTGAGGTTAGACATCGAGTGCTAGGTAGGTGGGTGGCGAAACCAATCGCTAAGGTTGTGAAGTTGCACCGACTGAGATGGTTAGGAAATGTGTTACGTATTCCTAGCCTAGCCATCGCCTTCCTCGACGGGAAGTGCTAGCTAACTGACATAGGATCAGGCTGGAAAAGAGCTAGTGGTGGTCAAACCAAAACATGGCACCAGTCAGTCAAATCTACAACCATTAGTTTAAGCCAGCTATGTAGGAAGGTGTAGACTTCCTGGTTGGGGTCCTCGCGACGGTAAAAGTCAATGGTTGGAAACAATTGGTGATATGGATCAAAGTGATCGTTCTCAGTGGCGCAGATGCATCCACTCCTTGTGACTTATGATTTCCAATGAAACTGTTTTGTTCTTCGTTATTACTATTCCTTTGTCTCACACCTCTGTTTACTGTCTCTATTATGCATTTCTTCTACTTTCTTCTCTTTCTTTGTGTGCTACATGGAGTGTAGCGACTTGAAATGCCGCACATCAGTGCAAAGTTCTATGTCGAAAACAGACACACAGACAGATTAGGCTCTTACAGCTATATATCCCGAATATTTAAAGAATTATTTTCACTGACAGCACTAATGTTTTCAGTAACACTGAACCAATAAAAACAGATAAATTAGGAAGAATAATACAGAATCGATGAATTAATAGATTCCACAGCCAACAGCACAGGGTAACAGTAGTAACTGGATCTGTTACTTTTGCACACACACACACCTCCAATTGTTTTAAGCGGATTCCAACTGCCTTTGCTTTTTGATGTTGGGTATTTGGAGGCCTATGATAATTCATTCAGTACTTGGTTAATGATAGAAGAGTCTTTGTGGCATATTTGGTAGAGGTGATCTAATATAAAACTGCTGATCGTTTTAACCACACCGTTATTTAACCATACTGGTAAGTGTTCTCGAGAACTCAACGTTTTTAGAGCAACGGCCAATATAACTGATTCTACAGGAGCAGCTGAAATGATAGATACAATAAGAAGGTAGTGATTTCATGCTATTTAAGACATTAATGTTCTTAACAACAGTAATAGCTCCTCTTTTTGTTAAACTGTAGAACCTGAAGGAGAAATTATAGAAGAGAATATTCTTTGTTTACTGAACTAGGTTCCTTGATAAATATATTCGTTTAGAAGATGTTGAAGTTCATATACAATCAGTCAAATAAAAAGTGAACTGATTTAAGTTCTAACATCACTATCCCGCCACTGGATCGAATTTCCCATATCGATGCAAGATTGTCAATTCAGAGGATTACAACCCCAAACCTGAATCTGGTTATGTTAAGAACTCTCAAGTTTGAACCACGCCACCGAGTGAAAATAATTAGGACAATATTTCCATAGGTAGGCAGCACGACATTAACCGATTGTCAGACAGACATTTCCACTATTTTTAATTTTTGCACCTTCTGGACAGTATAAAATAATAATGCACCCGCATCGCAGAAGCTATGTTGGCGTGTACTTAAGATTTAGCTAAATATACTGACTTAACTGTCAGGAATGAATTATCTTTTCTACGACTATCTGAGAGAAAGGCAGATGTGAGTACATGTAAATAATTTCAATGCCGTTGTGCTGACAACACAGCATATTTGTATAATGTGCGAAGAGTATCTCATATTTTGAGAGAAGATTGTAAAGGCCGATAAGAATAAATGCATTCATTCATAAATTAATTTTTGAATTGGGAATGAATGAATTCATTCCCAATTGAGAACAAATACTTCTCTGCCACACAAGTTCACCAACATATAGAAGATATTAATACGATAAAACAGAATAATAGCAACAGATTCAATCAATCTTAACATTTTCGCTCAATTTTTAAAAGATTCATAATACAAAAAACTTAATAACTCAGAGATGTGTGAACCTAGCCTTATGAGGTTGGGTTCACAAACAAATATACACTCTTATATTAGAAATATAGAAGGCCGCATCACGTATGAAAAAAGACCAAATACATGATATGAAGTCAAAATGAGGAGATTTGTAAAATTATCATGAAATGGCAAAATCCCACTTGTAGCGTACTGTCCAAACTTGTACCTCGTCCGTACAAAGTTCATTGTCAGCATTGAAAAGTGAGAATAAAAATACTGCTTCATCAGCGAACGCATTTGATGGATTTCGATAATGTGAGTATGGTGATTAACCGGGCTTCTCTCTGAAATGAGTAGTTCTGATTCAGATTGAGATGACAAGGATAGAAGTGTCTTGTCACCTATGTTAGTCCTTGCGACATAGATCTCTGCAGAAATCTAGTTTCTCTTTTAAAGCCTTCACCTATGTAGTTGTTACTACTGAATCAGGTAAGCAGTTCCAGTCGCTGACCACTCTGTGAGAGAATCTAAATTCGACACGTATTTTATTCGACCTCAGTTTGAGCACCTTCTTTTGGTGACCTAGTAAATGTGTCCCAGAGGGAGAGAAAAGGTTTGAAAAGTCAGTCTCTAAATCACCATTGAATATACAGTAAGCCAGTTGGACAGTATACAGTATTACAGTATATTGTAACGGGAAGAGATTTAAATGCTGCATTCTCTTATCATAGGGAAGGTGTGAAATACCACTAACTAATTTCGTTCCTATCATTTGTAATCTTTCCAGGATACGTACCTCTTTTTCGATGAATGGACTCGCCAATTATGTGCAGTATTCTAGATGCGGTATGTCGTATGTTGCATGGAGTAATTGGAACATACGCCCGTCTATTCGACTGAAAGCACTTCGAAGTGCCAATAACATCCGAAAAGCTTTAGCTGAGGCTCCACTACAATTTCCTGCTGTTTTTAAGTTATGGCTTACTATAATTCCTAGGTCCTTTTGTCCCCAAACATCTGGCAGTTTTGTATACCCCTGAGAGTACGACATGTAAGACTTCTGAGCTAGATGCATTACCACGCTTTTCGCGGAATTAATTTCCAGACTCCAAGGGTTAGCCCATTCAGCGAATTTATCTAGATCATTTTGTAGTACCAACCTATCATCGTTACTATTTACAGTTTTCCATGTCTTGATATCGTCTGCAAATAGTAAGGAAGATGTGGTAAGAATTTTTTGCACTTCATTTACATATAACAGGAATAGCAGGGGGCCAAGTACAGTTTCCTGAAGTACTCCACTCAGTACTGCCTTTCAGCCTGGCAGTACACACTTAACCCTTATCTTCTGACCTCTATTCATCAGGTAGTCGCTAAACCACTCACATAGGCCTCCGTCCAATCGAAAACGTTTCAACGCACTGGGAAGACCTAAATGGGATATGTCAATGCAGTTGAAGATTGAACGATCAATTCATGGTTGTTTGCTCAAAACCAACTTCCCAATTTTCGCGGAAGCATCAATACGACAGTCATCGTCTCATCGGTCGCTGTTCAGAAAGAAGTCAGCAGTAAACCGTCAGAAACCTTAGTGGGATTATTTTTTATATGTTGTTGTTACAATAAAGTATTTTCGAGCGGCCAATCGGTGTTTTGGTTTTTCGTCCGTTATTACTAAGCGTTTCTGAAAAACTTCAAGGTACAGCGTGGGCCCGAGCGTAGCAAGAGCTGGGCATTAACGGTTTACGAGACGTGATTGACAGTTTCTGACGATGGATACAGATCTGGCGGATTCAAACAGTTGGTGAAAGTTTGGATAGTCGCCGTTCATTTTTCCTGGTGCCGGTCAAGTCCTCTTTGAACAAGCAATATCTGGAACTTTTTTGGAATTGGGTCAAGTTCAACAATGCCTGGGTCAAAGAAGGGACAGAGTGTCTTGGATGCAAACAGGAAAGTAAGTCATGGTGACTTGTCTGTTAATTGTAACGATGTGTCTGATGTTAAGCATGACATGGTTGATGTTACTGTTTCGCCGTTCAGGGATAATAGGAACATCAAACTCCATAAATTTGAACCACGATGTTTTGATGGAAAACCAGCTGATTATTTACAATTTTTAAAGGAGTTTGAGATCATGTTGAGTGGTTTTTTATTAACTGATGAATTGAAGTTAATGTATTTGATGAGATATTGCACTGGAGATGCTGCAAGAGCTATACAGTGTTGTAAGTTTATGAAGCCAAAAGAGGGCTACGATGAGGCTATGAACATATTACGTCAAAGGTTTGGAAGACCTTCAATGGTTGTAAGGAACG